GCACGTGGGGGGTTGATGCACCCCGCGAGCACTCGTTTTTCCGCAAACGTCTTATCACTACCATCTACGGCTCCTCTCGACCTGCCACCAAACTTTTTTCTCTCTTTGACGCATAGAAAACGTGCCTCTAAATACAGCAACGCTATTAATATATCCGTCTACAGTTTCTGTGTAATTAAATTTAACCCTATAACACATCATTTTTTGCGTCTATCGGATCTAACTAATTGTTGCTTCGAATAAAAAATCCCCGGTCGAAGAAATTTGTAAAAATTCGTGGCAATGAGAAAGGTAAAGTTTGGTGTTCGATATCGAGAGATACAGGCGCGTTACTCGGAAGAAATTCCCTAGCAGGAGCAGTCATTGACAGAGCTTAAACGCCGGTGAATCTTCCCACACCAATCAAAGAGCACCCCTCGGACGCTTCCTCTTTCGTCGTTTCTCCTCTCACCCCCTCGTAATTCTCCCGGGAGTTATCTACCCCTGGTGTGTGCTAGCCGCCTCTGTCTGTTTGTCTGTGTGTACACGCTTCTAAAAGCCCCTTAATTCCGTTCATTTGTACCACTGGCATCCGTATCGAAGGTCGGACAGAGGGTTTCAACTGTCGTGTTCTACCAGTCGATGTTTCCTGGTCTTTATACCAATCGATCATCTCGCTATCTCTTCCAACTTCTTACGAGATCGCTGCCATTTCGAGAAGCTCGAAGTTTGGAATTCGCGAATTTCACAATTTCAGAAGATACGGGAAATTTGGAAATTTGCAAGTTTAACAATATCGAAATGTGAAATCGTTAAATAAAGGAATTTTCAAATTAAATGATCGATGCACACTGACAATGACGTCGGCACAAGATTTCTACGTGAAACTTGAACATTTTCGATTGTACGATAACTTGATATTCCAGTGTCCTCCCAAACGATCCTTCCAATCATCACGAAGATTTAAGTGCTCCTCATTTGATCCTTCTCGAGGAAACCCTCTGTTCTCATTGTGTGTCAATTGAGGTTCGTTTAAGCGGGGGTTGTCGTCTAAATTGATTTAAATTGATCGCGGACCCCGAAGAAAGAAGGGGGGCAGTAAAAAACCGAGAAATAATAATAACATTTCCCGCTATCGTCGGATACAATCTTTCCACGATACGGGAGCATTTATACTCTCTTCTTACCTGACTTCGTTTGGGTCACCATTATTCTTTTTTCCGTCTTTTCCGATGAATTTTTCGTGGTGACCCATTAAGGCACCCGTATGCTCTCAGCTGCGAATTCACGATAGGCGTACAAGTTGTTGCATATATATGTATACGTCCATTTATGACTTATCGTGTTCTGGGATCAAAGTCGAATCCTTTTTTTTACCTAGTTTTTTCGATATCTTTCTTTATTCCCGTTTATCCGTGGCTTCGGGACACGTCACACCCTCGACCAAATGATCGAACGGTTTATTAAACTCTATGGTACTATGGTAACCGTTCGACCAAGTGGAAGGAATTCTTATTCCTCTGTTTGGCTTCTTGGAAACTATCCGATTTCTGTTTCATTCTTTCATGGAGTACAGTCGAGAGCAAATCTGACTTACCCAGGGAACAGAATTTGGGAGCCACAGATTCGAAGATTTATAATTGTTCGAATCACTTCATTATTCGCTATAATTTCAAGTAACGATAAACTGCTGGTAAACTGAACTTCTCTTCACGCAGAAAATCCCATAAGCGTAGAAGCATATGTCACAACACCCTCGGGACCAGGTCTCGAAGGGGTGGTTTTTTCTGCGAACGAACCCTTGATTCAGAGGGCGTGTTTTCGAGGGTAAATTCGGTTAAACGCGAGATACAATAGGCTGTGCTTGCGCAAAAGCAACCTGACTGATCGTCAGCCCATTATTAGGGATGTTTAATAAACCACCCCAAACATATTAACGTTTCAAGTATCGCGCATGTACTGAAAATAAAGTTATTAACTGAAAGGGTTTTGGTATTGTACCAAAATTTCAATAAAAAGACAAACTAATGCACGATGCAGAGACTTGGTAGAGTTGCAATTAACGATCGCAGTTCCTAAGACGACATCGCGTATTCGAGATCGTAGATCCGATAAAGCGAACAAAGCGAATCCTTTGTACGGTGTCCCCTCGATAATCTGTAAAGATGAGAGGTGACTCGCGTCGAGTGAATTACAAAGTTCACATCAGATCGGATCTCCGTTCGTCCAGAAGGTAGCTCCTCTTTGGAAAAACCGGAAGCAGCCGGCACGAGCCGAGAGATGCGAGCGGGTTACCAATGTTCGCCACACGCTTTCGTCTCATCTGCCTTCTTTCTATTCAGGTACAACTCCGTTTACCGTTTCTATTCCTCTTCTATCGATCTCGTAACGCGTTAACCCTTTAATTCACGGATTTCGTTACAAACTTCGTCATTTTTGGGAATAACAAAATATGAACACTGTATTATATGCGCTATACTAACGTCTGTAGTATGTCCATGCTTCTGAATAGTTGAATGAACACATGTAACAGGACGGTTTGATGGTATTAGAATACAAGAAGGCTCAGCACGTGGGTGACAGGTGATGGAATATTTAAGCGTCATCAGCCACCTTCAACGCGCTACTGTTAAAACTACGCGACGTGCATTCTATGCAAATGCATGGCAGATGCACGGATAACACCGAAAATTTGTCCTCAAACGGTACCCTGAATTATTGCGGCCACCTATTTCACCCTCATCTAACGTATTCCGAGAACGTCGAATGACAAATCGAAGAAATATTTCCTGCAATTTTCTTTACGTACTAAATTAAAACAGTACTAGTTTAAATTTCAGCTCGCACCAATTACTCTATTCGATTAATTAAACGTTTACCCCTATAAAAAGTGAAAAAAATGCACCGGGGCGTAGATTCCCATGAAAATCGCATCGAGGATCGTTCCAGCGAGAACCCATAAAAATTCGCAACAATGGAAGACAACGGTGCATAAAATGTAAAAAAAAAATCGAGGAAAAGTTCATGTGGAAATGGTGGTAGCGCGGGTAGGCGCAATTTTTTCGCGATATTTCCGCAATAATTGTCGGTTCCCGCGCGTACTCCGTGCGCTATCGAGCCGCCCGCCATCTCGGAAACGGAATGGCGACCAAAGAGATAGTGTCACAGACAGAAGCGTACTTCCAGCGATGTGCCAGCTACCTGTGTGCAAGTAGCCGAGCCTGCACCGACACGGGAACAAGTACAATAGGCCAGTTTCGGGGGACAATAGCCATGGCCAACAATCAAATCAGAGCGCTATCAGCCCGACCACCCACACCCTATCCGCGTTTATCCTTTGATCCGCTTGCTCGCTCGCTCGCTCGCTCGTTGCCTGGCAAACACTCCTGATTGCACACCCTCTGTGTTTAAACAGACCCCGAACTCTACCCTGCTCTCTGCCCCGCCGAGAGCTTTTCTCTCTCCTCCTCCTACGTTCTCGCGAACCACCTCTCTTTCTTCTAAACTTCCCCCTTTTTGCACTTACTCCATCTTTTTCACCTCCACCTCGAACCACTTCTTTCTTCTTCCTCGTTTTTCTTCGCGCTGTTTTGCACCCGACAGACATTTTACGATCGGCTGTTACGTCTAATTGGCGCCACCCTAAGAGGGGGTATTTGGAGGGTGGTTCAGATGCGATGGTGCTTGATTCCAGATTCGAGAATTTTTTATAAAAAATGCTCTACCAAAGTTTCAGATACCGCACGCACCCAGAGTTTGAATCAATAATTTTTTATGGAAGATCATGGAAGAAACAAGTTGAAAAAATATGTTTCTAATTGCATTCACAGTCTTTTTATCGTTATCGATCAGTGGAACACCTTTTCTTCGCGCAACTCTTTTCAAAGCGAACTTTCGTTGCCTCTTTCAGTCTCGAGTCTTCTTTGTTCAACCCCTTCACGTCATCGACCCCTCTTCCCGGCGGTATTTAAAAGAGTCCACAAAAGAAGAATGTTTGAGAAACATCAGCCGGTACAAAGTACCTACAGTCTTTGATGTTTTTTATCCAGAACACTTCCTTTTTTACGCGTTGACAGGCGCGAAAAAGTTGTCGTTAAGGAAACTATCTTGAAGCCTAATTAAGGGCCATGTTCGGCACACCTGTGAGCACGTGGTAGGAAGTGACGGTAGAGTTATCGCGGGAACACGTGCCATCACGCGGAATCGCACGTGCGAGTACGCTGCGGAAACGCGTCCTGACAACAAACTTCCTATCAAAAAATAACCACCCTTCCGGATCTCTAAATTAACGATTTGTCGAAATACTATAATCGTTCGTAGTCCGATCAATCCGCTAACGATTTGACGGAATCGTGGATTCTAGAAAATCTGACTTTCGCGTCCTCGAGCCATGGGACAGAAGTTAGTCGAGTATTTAAGGACGAAAGACAATGAGGACGATCAATCGAAGCGAAAGAAGAACGGTAAAGAATCGTAGGTCGTCGAGAGCTTACAATCAGCTGGTGTCGCGACGATTCAAGGGGGTGTTTCTAGCAGGATCCTCCTACTTCCTACCACCTCCTCATCCCGTTGCTTCCGACCCCAGGTACCCGCATCCAAGACAACGGCCCGTTACGCTTCGATCGAACCTGAACCCACCGCGCAAACATATCTGCCAAGGTGAAACGCGTCCTCCGAATCGGGGAGTTCTCACCAAAGCAAAGACGAACACCGTGTGCCGAATCGCTTTAGTATTTCCCCAAAGAAATTATGTCTGTGGGCATTGGACAAATGTTAAACTTAACAATTTGCGAACTTTTCAATCTTGAAAATTGTGGGAAATTTGAAGATTCAAAAATCTGGAACTTTGACGATTCGATGGTGTAACAATTTTGTGGACCTGTGGAAATTTATCTTTGAAATAGGAAATAGGATGGAAATAGGATCTTTGGAAATGTAAATGTCATGTGAATAAATGTTCTAAATTTGGGAAATTTGGGAAATGTATAAATTTGAAAAATTTGAAAATCCGGTAACTTGATTCGAAGCTGACCATCCCAATCTACCAATCCTAAAAAAACGTAACCCAGAAAAATTCGTGAACAGCCTTAAACGACGGATCAAAATGGATCCCCAATTCCGAAGCACCGGTGGCCAGAAAGCAGGCTGTAAGAGAGGAGGGCGACGGTAACCAACGATGATCGATCCCTGGCTAGGTCGAGAGGGGTTGTTGCGTACAATTAGGCACCCTGTTCGAACAGCAGCGGAGGGCTGCCGATTGGTCGAGGTCGGCCACTCCTCTAGGCGTATCCTGACGACGAGCAGAGCTAACCACAGCGAGCATACCGTTCGCCTCGAGCTAGTACACATCCTGAAGAGCGGAGGCCCCTCAGTTCAAGCAGCGACTTCGTGTCGCACATATCGACACGCAGTGTTTTCCGCGTACAACGAGTTTACTCGCCAAAGACGGGTCGACACATCGAGTCGAGCTATCAGTGAATTTTGTCGGAACAGAGAAACGCAAGTGTCCTGTAGATTACTTTGTCCTGGTGATGAAGGGACCAATTAAGTTTTAGGGATTTCTCCTTAACGACTGGTCAGTGATTGTACCACTAGTGATTTGATGATCATTGGGAGGATTGTGGTTACCTGGGACGAAATTGGGACCATCCACAGGTGATACCGGCGCTAACTTGCCAGAGCAGCCACTACTATGGTGGTACTGTAAGTATATTTACTTGCTGGATTTATTTTGGATGGAGCTTTGGGAAACTGGAGCGTGCTTGAGATAAATTGAGATGGTTCTGACGACGGACAGGTCTGAGATATCCATGTTCGATGATGACAGTCTTATGCGAGTCGAGCATAGATCGTTAGAGAATATGGTGATCGTGGTGCGCGCTAAGTGTACGACTTGTTTTGCCTACTATATTCACAGATGTCTTAATTGAATTGATGAAAAATTGTAATTAATACGCATAAAACAGGACATATTATAGCGTCAGTGTTTTAATACCGTTATCTGAATCGATCACAAGATGAATAATACGCACCGAGTAAATTATAAATGTCACCACGTTTATAACGTTCATAGGTAGATCGTGGGAGGGTATTCGATTTATTTCCCAAAATAATGTTATCCTTCGACTTTGGAGCGCATCGGCTGAATAACAAACAGACCGATGACGTCAAGCGGAGTTGTAATGACAATTGAAACGCTCCGAAGCAGGTGTCGACCATTTCAGCATCGATTTCTCTTCCTGAACAAGCAGCGAGATTTCCCTAGTATCTAATCAGTGGGCGTTCTGCGGGTTTCCCATTGGTGTGTGGGCGTTATCACCAGGCCCCGATTGGTCGATGCCTGTTCTAGAGCTCTCTCGTGTACTCATGCGCAGCTCGCACCGACGTAAAGCGAATTCTCAATTCTGCGAATCCAATAATCGCCGATTCGTGGATTGTACGAATTCTACTCGTACAAACTTTTGCTATCCCGTTTTCGAATTTTTATCCTATTCGTTCTGCTTCGTCAATCGGAAACTTAGTTACGCTCCTCATAGAATATACTTGAAATCGATGTGGACAACTTTAAATATTAACAATTGACATTCAGATATTATTTCTGTTAAGAATGTCATATATTCTTGACGAGATATTGCAGAACTGTTGCACTAAACCTTGAAGCTGCACTGGAATTTCTTGTGCAACAATTCGGCGAAAAAATAATGAGGAAGATAAAGAGGAATAAATGTCCGGTTAAGAGGAGCGCCGTCTTTAAAGGACGACGAAGGGGTCGGAAGGGATCGTGGTCTATTCGTGAAAACCCGATTACGAATGTATCCGTGGCTCGCCATTGATCACGACCCAACACCTCGAAGACAGATTAAACGAATGCCCGCGGGTAAAACGATCTCCCTTTATCTCGAATCTCGAGAACGTTCTCTCCCTGTCCTCCAAGCTGAGGAACCCTTTGAACCCGCTATCCTCTCGACTCACCACGATCCTTTTATAACCTGGCGACTGAATGGAAGCTGACAGTTTACCGGGTATTAATTATGTCTTGGGATTCGAGGGTGACACCGCCTTTCGACAGCGCAACTTCAACTTTTCTTCGAATTAACGCGGTAAACGTCAGCGAGAAAATTGACACACCACGTGTTGTATCGCCACGTGTTCGACCTCGGTTCCTCTTATGCACGACGCGTTGTAACTACAACATATTATATTTACAAGGCATTATATGTATACAGTACATTATATTTACAGTACGCTGTAAGTTCAGCGCGTAGAAAATACCACGAGTGACAATACGATGCATCGAATTACAGCTCGCGCAGATAACAACGATCTATCCCGAATGAAAGTTTCGACAATTTCGTCTCTGAAACATCCTAATACACTGACCTTATTTAAACGAAATTCACCTACTCTCGCGAATTAAGCGTTTTTTTATCCGCTGTATTCGCATCTTCCTCTTCTACTTTATTTCCGATCCTTCCTCCGCTTATTCTCGTTCGATGGATCACGATTTATGCGGTTTTACGATCGATCATCGCGGTTTTGCGCATCAATGAGCAGTCACCTTCTCGGAATTTGCAAGTAAGATACCGAGCAGTTCTTGCAACCTGAATTTTTGTAGGGGCAGTTGAATTGTTTGATGCTGGAAATACTTTGTTGCTATTATTCGATACAAATGTGTTCGAAGAAGAATACGGCCGATAATATGAAACGCGGTTTCAAAACAGGACGAACAAAAAAGAATTAGTTATTGGGTCGAGAAAGAGTCAGCGCGAGTCGTCCGAATAATAAAGGAAGATCGATTATGCGACACTCGTCTATTCGTGAATGAGCTTTCGCGAGTGTGAAGACAGAGCCACGTGTGTCTCTAAATTTGGAGCGACTTTACGACACTCGTCCATCTCCCTTTCTCTTTCATCTTTCCGTCTTTCTTGTTTTCCTACTCTTATTTCGTCTCCTACCTTCCGATCGGCTAAAGGAATCGGCAAAAAACCTGATTTACAAAAATCCAGCTGGACCGGTTTCAGTTTATTCGCGACTCTATCGTGTTTCATTGAGGTTCATCGGGTTTTATCGTACCTTTCTTTTCATACAATTTTCATTTCGATTTTTATCTCCGTTCCTCACGATTTCTCGCGTCCATCACCGCTGACACGCGTCACGCATTTCGTTACGTACAGAGTCCATCGCTCGGAAAGCAAATTCCTCGTCCCCGTGCATAGCAATATACGAAAGCTCGATTTCGCGTAAAATTTCTACCAGAAAATTTGACAAAATTTTTCGCGATCGTAGGATCGTTTAAAAAAAATGAACGCGCCGAGTCGGTCCGTTATGCAGCGACGAAGGCACGCGAGGCGTTTCGTCGGTGGACAGTCGTGGAAGAAAGCGAGACGGGAAAAGGGACGAAAGCGACGCGGAGAAAAGAGAGTCAAGCCTAGGTGAATGATTGCCCGGATCGGTGATAAAGTCATCGCCTTTAGCACCGGCGTAAGATGATACATCGGCGGACGATGCTGCGAGGAGATTGTCCCGCGGCGCGGCTTCGAGCCGAACCACGCACGCTACACGAACCGAGCCTCTCTGCCGCTGCGAGGAGACGAAGAACCGAAGAAGAAGAAAAAACGAACAGGGAATCGAGGAAGAGAGAGACTATATCCTCGTTCCGGTCGGTATGGGTTCCTTCAGAATTTCAGATATTAACACCGATACCGCGTGCCCACTAAAATATCGCGCGAGAACCGCAGCGAGAGAAGAGATTTCTCTTGGCCGGCTCGCGCCTAGCCGCGCACAACGATCGTCCCCTCGAGATTAGGGCTAAACGAGTTAATTCCCTCGCATGCTCTTCGACTCGAGTTTCCGCGTGTGTCCTGCCAACGGGAGGAACAAATTTCTTTCTTCTTCGCGTCCCTTTCTTATCCCTTTCGCTACTACCAACCTCTATGTACCCATTACTTTTTCTATGTCTCGTCATTTCTATATCCCCAATGATAATGATATCTATATTCCTATGAGCCAAATCCGTGCAGAAAATATTGAAAATGCGACTGTAAAGTGGACAATTCAATTGGACCCAACCCCATGGATCGTGAAACTGTCAGCGAGGCGATTCGAAGCGTAAAATTATCGCGAAACGATCGTTCGAAAGTGTATCTGGTGGTCGCGTCTTTATTGTCGTCTAAAATCGGCGGCCAGATCGAGCTTTCACGAGGAATCGAGCCGGAGACCTACGCGAGACGAGCACAGTCTCTCAATGTCGAGTAGGTGTTCGAGGCTCGTAAACGTCGGTGCACGTCTCGATAAAACCTACGGAAACGATGTGTGCACGCACCGAAACGCGTAACCTGTACCTACACCGTAGGAGGTACGAGAGAATGCCTCTATGAGAACCACTCGATCGCCTTTAGAAGTCGATCTAAACGGTATTAATATCTCGAGCGCGTTAGTTTGATAAGACGACGCTCATTTCGAAGCTTAAAGTTTGAAGAAAATGGCGACGTAAATGCTTCGTTAGTGCTCCTAATACAAAATGGCTGACAGTCACTTGTAGCGAACAGTGACCCACTTAGAAACGTAGAGTTCGATAGAAATTCGCGACATAATATGAAATAATGCTCGTAGAAATATTGTTAACACAAAGTGGCAACTTCTTCGATGGAATAAACAATAGTCTCGGCTAGCTCGATAAAGCACTGCCCGCCGTTCGTTCACACGTTGGTTCGGTAATTTTAGATAACAGGTTGGTCCGAAAGAACGTAGGCGCACCGAACGTCTTCTATGGTTTGACTTCATGGTCAATGACACCCGGTTGCCGATATTAAAATTTATATGTTTCTTCGACGGGCGTCGCTTATTTTGCATCAAGCTCGAGCTTCGACTTTTTTCTCAAACGCGAGATAAATTATGTATCGGCGGTTTCCAAAATAGCCTCTTGTGAAAATCCTGAACGATAAACAGACGAATACAGAGAATTTTGTAATTTCGAAATTTAGAAGTTTGCAGAGTTAGAAAGTTGAGGATTTAGCAATTAGGAAATTTACTAAAATCTCTCTGAAGGCCCTGTAAAAGAAGAAGATAGCGGAGAAAATTGTTTTGGAGAGAAGCAAAACGAGAGAAGAATTCCAACGCGCCGACTGCCAAGGATCGATCTCTCTCTCGGCGATCGAGAATCGCTCGCGACGAATATAAGGATTCCGGAAAGCCGCAGAACGTGGCTGTTGTCAGGCCACCCACGGGCTCCCATAAGTATGGCGCGAGCTACGGCCAGCCACGCACCATAAATCGGGATTTTATCTCGAAGCTGCCGGCCTCTTGCTACACCGGCGATTGCGTAATCCTAAATTGGTCCTCGAATTCGATGCACCGAGGATTCGAGTTTCACAGGACCTCGTGAAACTATAGAGTTTTCTCTTTCCAGAATCACTATACTACGCGATACAAGCATTTTCCATCAAAATGTAGATCAGTCGCTAGATAATATTTCGAAGTTATTGTGGTTCGGTGGTATCGGTGATGATAGACATATTTGATTCGTCTTTGTTGGAGTTTGCTGTATAATGAATTTATTGCATGATGACTATACGTTGGATTTACTTTGCTGTTGCAGGAGTCGCGTTGGGTCGCCGACTATGTCAGCGACTGTCGCCGGCAATCAGCAACAACAGCATCCTCATCAAGAATGGGACATCAACGACTCCAACGTTCCGAGGGTAATTACTTCGCGTCTAATCGCTAATTTATACTCTATATGCAGTAGTAGTAATAGTTCTGGCTGCACCAAATTGATCTTAAATCGATGGAAAAGTAATCATATAGCGAGGAGAGAAAGATCTATGATTCACAGAAATCAGATCATTTAATTTTAGGTGGTGGAGTACGATCCCTGGTGCGAATGGGCGGACGGTCACGTGAGAAGGGTCTATGGACCAGACTGTGAAGAAGCTAGAAGACACGCATCAGGGTGGGCAATGAGGAACACGAACAACCACAACGTCAGCATCTTGAAGAAATCCTGTCTCGGTGTTCTCGTCTGTTCGCAAGAATGTATACTACCCGGTGGTGGGAGAGTTCATCTTCGACCAGCAATTTGTGACAAGGTGAGGAAGGAGAGACGAATTTGTTCAATTAGAATTTTCAAGCTTTTACGGCTAGTGCATGAAGGATTTTAAGAATCGCACTGTTCCAAAGTTGCATAGAATAGCAAATAGCACCAACAATAACGATAGTGGAATTCATTGCGAGAACAAAAAATAAAAATCAGTGTAAACGGTATCGCTCTTCGAACATCGACATTAAAAGATGAGTCACATTGTGCGCAACTTTCGCATCACTGTCAAGTATATAACGTTATTCCAATTCGATGCGAGCCGACGAATGTATTTATAGCGACACCCCGACGCAGTAGCATGTCTTTTCGTTCGTGAAGTGTCATAGTCAGAACGGAAAGAAGCCGATGGATGGAGATTTTTCGAACTCGTTTTAAGATTCGCATCGTTCCGTCTTTGTTGTTCAGGCGAGGAAGAAGCAGCAAGGGAAACCGTGCCCGAACAGACAATGTACGGGTCGTTTGGAAATACTCTCGTGTCGTGGGCATTGCGGTTACCCTGTGACACATTTCTGGCGGCACACCGAGCATGCGATATTCTTCCAGGCAAAAGGACAACACGATCATCCGCGACCGGAAGCGAAATCCACTTCCGAGGCGAGAAGAAGCGTCGGTGCTGGACGAAGGGTGCGGGGACTCGCGGTCCTCCTCGCCAACGAGGCTGCTTTAGGTTCTAAAGTATGTCTACCACTTGTATGTATTACGAATACATTGCAAAATATTTTTTAACAGAAGGATTTTCGAATAGTTGGTTAAGCGTTAGAAAGGTACCGCGTATGTTATTCGTTTTATACTATTTGAAAATCGCATAAGCAATTGAACTCACCGAGATGCGTAGACGTCGTCGGTTCGATATTATTCACAAATTATCACCGCACCATGTGGAACAATCTGGAGATTCCTTCGATCTTATCGAGTGATTTTGCACTTGTTTCAGTTGATGTCACTGAGAGGAACTAAAAGACCGAACTCGGAGACGCTCGAGCAGCCGCCAAGATCGACGCAACCACCACCACTTATACCGGACAAAGGTTAGCGATTGTTTCTTTTCACTAAACTACGATCAAACTCGTTTTATAACAATAAGGATTATGTACGCGTTAAGCAAATAATTTTCACGTTGAATAACATGCATCGTTATAGTCAAATAATTGTACCTTCTCTTTTATTGCAGGATACTCGTGTTCCTGTCCACCATTCGAGTGCATGTGTCCCCTGCAGACGAACGTACAGTCGTTTCAGCAACAGCACCATCAGCCAGGGATGTACTCGCAACAGACCTCATCGAACGACGCGCCGTACTGGATGCAGGATCCCGTGCAACCTCAAGAGAACCTAGGTTACAACCTGCCGAATCAGGTTTCCCAGGAGGCCTCGTATTCCGATTTCCCCCCGTTCACCGGTGAATTGCTGCAACCAGAAGAGATTTTTCAATTAGATCAACCTTTGAGACCGGATTTCCCCGTCAACTCCCAGGACGTAGCAAGATCGCCGCCTACTCTGTTGGACCTGGGCAGTGGTACTATCAAGTACGAGTTGAAGCACCAGGATCAAACCTACTGGCATCAATTCCTGAGCGAAGATTCCAGCAGTAGCCATCTTAGTATACCTCAGGACGACAGGCTCCAGTTTGCCGGTTTCGAGCCGGACAAGGACTCCAACGGCTATTGCCCCAAGAGACCCTTGAATCACTTCGTCCCCGACAAGAACATCCACCAGAACCATCAGCTGAACAATCCCCTGAACTTCCAGGATTACCAACGAAACCAGAATCACAAGAGTTTCCTCGACGGGGCAGCGAAGAACGACCAGGAGGCCAATTACTGGGTCCAAAATCATCAGGACGATCGTTTAAACTTCCCCGGATTCGATCCCCAGAAAGACGAGGACCTGTTGACTTCTAGGAAAAACGTGAACTGCTTCACCAAGGAGAACTGCCAACCTCCTCTGATGGACAGAGCCAATTACAACGTGTACCCGAAGAAAGAGAACGGCATGACTGATCCTGTACGTCCCAGTCGTAGTCCCATAACTTACGACGGCTACAGTCAGCTGTTCGATCATTCGGATACCAAGAGTCAGCTGACCATCACGTGTCGACCTCATCAGACCCGAATGGTTCTCGACGAGAGATTGCAGAACAATTATGGAAACCACGAGACCAATCCGGACACCACCGAAAGGTTGTTTCCGGATTCCAACGGAATCGACACGTCGTTGCAGTCGCAAAGTAGCCCAGAACCATTTTTCTACCCCAGTAACGATCGCTGCCATTACACTTGCGAGGTGCTGGACACCCGGCTACCTCAGATGAACATGAACACCGGAAACACCCAGACGGGGATCAATTATGGAGATGTCAGCGAGTTGGATCTACCACCCTTCGTCGATTACACGCTGGTAGGAATGCTGTGCAGCTCCGCGGAAGAGGACGCTTCGAATTTGTTACCTAGTTGCCCTCAAAACGCGCAGAGCTACGTCCCGCACCATTAGATCATTCTGTCGACCATCTTCCTTTGTATTATAAATATTAAATATACGATAGTTGCAACTCGAACGTTTTTTCCTCCTTTTATCCTTTAATAATATTGGAAATCTTACGACCTCGAGGTTTGCCAAGAGGCATTTTCTTGGCTTATTTAACGATACGTTCCATGGAAAAGGAAATAAGAAGGGATCGAAAGCAGTAGAGTCGAGAAATTAGCTTGAAAAAAGGTCTCCTGGTTTAGTCGTAATTTATTTATTCGTAACAGATACTCTCACGATCACAACTGTATGTATGTTATGTAATATAATCATATATACCTATTTGCGTTACACTTTCTCGGATTACATGCGCGATACTCATTTCTCTCGTTTCTTTCCGTACGGCTTCTCTCTTTCTCCTCAAGCGACAAACTCTAGGCAGACGCGAGTAACGAAATCGACTATGAATCCGCTCGCGTGTTCGTCGAACGATCAATCGAATAGTCTCGAAAGAACCTTCAACTCTCGACGATGATCGAAAGCTAATATCGAAGAGAAAAGAGTGCGTGAGCGGATGATTCGTTCGTAAGCGTACCCTAGCTAATAGTAAGATCATAGTCAACGAGTTAAGAAAGGAGAATCGCTGAACCGCACGCTCGCGGATCCTTTCGACCCCGTTACACCCCATAAGATTGCGCTTTTATTCTCCGGAAAGATCCCCGCGTCCGAAAGTGTCATCCAACCGAGTATATCTCGAGATCTAATTTTCCTATGAAGAGGGTCGATCGTTCGACGAAATATTTTATTCCATCGGGACAAAAATCAAACTCGTCTCTTTCGCTATTTACTCCGACTATTTGATGTCCAAGAAAGAACAGATACATCGGCGGTATTCAAAGAGAAAACATTAGGTAAATATACTGTTCAAAAGACGCACCTAAGCACCTTCGTTTTCACACGCATCAACCTCAAACTCTTAAGTAACTTTCAGAAGATTTTAAACGGATAGTTTAGTGTACATGATTTTTGAAAAGAAACATATTTATAATAAAACGATAACATAATAATGGTATGTCTCGTTTTAAGGTTAGATTAGCTACTATATTCGCACTATGTTCAACTACGATACGATCACTGTATCGTAAGTTTAATTTTCAATAACATTTTAGAGAACGTTCTTAGGTCACACTCGAAGGTGTGACGAGGTCAGCGAAGGTAAGTCACTTAAACGGTACGTTTACCAAAGATAAAAAGCAAACCTAAAGATTACGTTACACGATATCGCAAAAATTTCCTCGTATCTTATACTCTTTCGTTTGTACGTGAATTACGATTACACCCCCTCGCACAGTGTGTATAAACCTTTCTAAGCGTATAAATTTTGGTCGGTAAAAAAAAGAATATTCTATAATATCGAATTACATTTGTCCTATACACGTCACACATAAAACAAACCTTATATCTCGTTACGCTACGTTTACATAACATTTTTTTTTCAACATTTTTTCTTACTTTTGTCTCTTTAGGCATCTAAGTAAAAAATGGGGAAAGGGAAATTGAGGGATAAAGGGCAAGGGCTGGAAAATGTGTTCTGTCAGAGAATCGCTAGAAAAATAAAAACGCGTCTTTATCCTCCGCACGCACACACGCATTCTCTTTCTTCTCTTCGTCGTCATCTTTTACAAAATTTCTCTCTTCGACGTTCTTCGCGATCTGACGCGTGCTTCTTCATCCGAGAAAAGAAAAATCTTCGTGTCGGGAATCGTATGATCCGTGTTATAATCTTTCGTTAAACGAATCACAACGTTTCGATCAAACTTGTCCCCTCGATTTTTCAGGCGATCGTGCCTCTATCTGACGAGGCTAAGTAACACAGCTAAAACACGTTGCAGGCACGTTGCTTTGATATATGAATTTCGGTAGACCCGTGTGCATAGATAACTTTCTTTTAATCGTGGAAAAGTCCTGGTATTGTAACTAAAGTCTCCCATTTAATCGCGCGTGTAAAAATGTCAATGTTACACGAGTTAGGCAAACATTAAACAGTTGCTTCCCCTACGTTTTCCTTTAAAAGGAAAGAGAGCAATCTTTGCACGACGCTACGCATCACGCACCTAAACCAGGACGAACAATTAGGAATTCGTGAATATTCGGCCGACGGATCGAAGGAATTCACGCGAGAACCAGCTGTTCGAGTACTCGGCAAATCGTGTTAGAAGCTGGAGTCTCGCGTCATTCAGAAGGGAGAAAACTTTATTCCCGTCGGTTTTGATTTTTGCTTGCAACTAACCGCGGCCCAATGGAGCGTTCCGAAGGAACTTGGGCAAAACTGGAATTTCAAATCGATTACACGGACATTTTACGATAAATACGAAATCGATCTTTGTTGCTTGATACATCTCGAACTTGTTAAAGTAATTTCAATTGGAAAACTGAACATTGGATTTGGAAAATAAATCGATATCGCCGTAGAACATAAGCTGCCGCGTCGAGTGACCGTCTGATCGGCGTTGCAGCTAAATGCTCGTCCAACGATCGTCGAATTGCTATAACGAAAGCGTAAATGGACGCAGTGCAACGCGTGTAAAGTCTTTCCTATGTTAATAATAATTTTACGAGTCTAAAAAACTTCAAGACTATCGCATGTGCAATTCATCATGGATCAGCCTCATCGATGATTTCACGAACTGATCTGCTGTTAAATCCGAATAAAGATAGTAACAGGACATAAAGACTGTGACTCTTTCTGGTTCTGGAAATTGTAAATTGGACTAATTGCAGTCGTGAACAGGTGTTTATGTACACGGGGAACAAGCATTTAATTAAATTATATTACATGTATCTTAGATAATTGCTAATACGTTTCATGATACGCTGTGATACTTGACAATTGCGTTTAAATTTAAGAAAATTATGCTTCGTTCGAGTGTTAAATTAGAAGGATATCTTTTTACTTGACCATGTGGCATAACGTGTTTGAACTTTCAACTTGAGTACCTACAAAGGTATTGAAATTTTACTTTCTTCGATAGTTTTCGTGTTCAATTTTGATTCGAAGCTTGCCAGACCACCAGTGACCCACGGTTATATCACAGTCACAACTTTCATCGAGTTTAGAGACTCTGTGATTTAACTTGGAAACGGAAGGGACTAAAATTGAGAAAAAAGCATGATATTAGTTATCGTTTTCTGTGATTAAGTACTATGATGGCATTTTTGGACCCACTTTAAAATGTTTACCACGCAGCTTTTATTCCACGCAACGCGGAACTCGTACATCGTTTATATAAATAAGGTTTTAACACTTTCGATGCTCCATAGTAAACGTATTAACAAGAAGCTAGCCAAGTATCCGTAGCACGACCGTTAAGAAATCTCAGATGAAACCAAGTCGCCGTTCCCAGTGCACAATCTTCATAAATCATTGTTAACGATCACCTTCGAAGTTAAATTCGAGGAATTCGTATAAGTTATTGAAATGAAAGGAATTCGTGGTAGATCCGTACATAAAGTGCGTGTTTCGATCGACGGAGGAGGAAACCCCTCGCAAAGAAGCTTTTCTGCTCGTGCTACGCCAGAAGCGGTTGCTTATCATTCTCTCGATAAACTACAACCTATCGAACGAACGAATTATCTGTTCGTTTTCGTCTTGCTTGTCGCTCGACCTCGAAAATCAGAGGGGAAACGAGCGATCGAGCCAGCGATTCGATCACGAGTTTCGCGATTCACAAAAAAGACGACGAACATGATCGAATCGCTCGAATTAAGATTAACTAACCGCTAAGTAGAAGTGAAAACGTCGAGCCTAACGATCACAGCTATTGTACGATACTATGAGTGTGCTTAACGGTCGCGGGGTAAACGATAACAGTGGTAGATAATCGATAATCAATTTATCGCGGGAAGCTACATATCCGTCTCAGTGTCTCTTTTGCTAGGGACAATACAAAAAGAACCTATTTGTCTGTGTATATGTATATATATTTATATATATAAGTGAATATGTACAGTCGCGGGCAATGTACGTTTCCTCGAATAAAGGAAAGGTGTGGAGGAATACGAGGGCCTTATAATCGGGTCGTTTCTGGGTTCTCTCAAAATCGAAAGGTGGGAAGATATATCTCTACAGGTAAAAGTAGCTTAGAGTACACTTCGATGCAACGAGATCTTTGGATAACAGTTAGGATTATGGGAGGAGTCTACCATCGCTGCTTCGGTTTTGAGAAAATCTAGACTTTAAGTTAGTATGTATCCTGCGAAAATCCCAGCAGAATTCAAGGGAAACTCAGAGAGGACCCAAGAAGAACTCAAAGACGATGACCCAGAGAGTCTGGGTAATACTCGAGAACCTCCCACGGAGAATCCGAAGAAAACCCAAGAAGAACTCATAAAGGAGAGCCTAATCTAAACCTACACCTTCCTGTACTAAAAAAGCTTACACTGCATTTGACTGCACACGTGTCTATGTGTGTACGCGTTATTCTATACGTACACACGTATTATTAATAAAATTCATCCTACGAAGAGCGTGCCCCACACCGCGTTGATCGACGCGTTGATCGACGGGGCCAGGAGAAACTGATCTTTCGTCGTTACGAGTTAAAGATCCGGGTGCCACGCGGTCTCCTCTTGGTGTTCCCGTTCGCGACTCGAATGCGAGTGACAACCGCGCGTCGATTATGGAGGCACCCGAAACGGAATCGTCAGGAAAAAAGAAATGGAAAATATGCTCGTGTTCCTCCGTTAAAAATTATACTCGACTTCCTAACGTGCGTTAAAAGATGTATCTCGAGAATTGCACAACACTTGGTTAACTAGTCAATTTCGTTTTACAAAATCTTAGCTTTGCCTTAGGACCTAATACACGTGTACACACGCGCGTGATACTCCTTTTTCTTCCGAACGCGAATATTGCACGCTTCGTATAACGATGTACGTGGTGTTATATTATATATCACATGTATATAATGTACATATATATGTCCGCATGTACAAAGCAATGTTCCGTAAATTTCATTACCTCCGGTTTCTATATTCTTCTTTTTTTATTTTCAATCGTTTCGCATTTTGTTTTTTTTGTCTTTCTTTTTTTTTTTTTTGTAAAACTTACTCAACTACGATTTTTTTATCTTTTCTTCCCCGTTCTTTGCTTTTTTCACACGGTGCAAAGACAAATTGTATTGATAATAATAATAATAATAATAATAATAATAATAATAATAATAATAATAATAATAATAATAATAATAATAATAATAATAATAATAATAATAATAATAATAATAATAATAATAATAATAATAATAATAATAATAATAATAATAATAATAATAATAATAATAATAATAATAATAATAATAATAATAATAATAATAATAATAATAATAATAATAATAATAATAATAATAATAATAATAATAATAATAATAATAATAATAATAATAATAATAATAATAATAATAATAATAATAATAATAATAATAATAATAATAATAATAATAATAATAATAATAATAATAATAATAATAATAATAATAATAATAATAATAATAATAATAATAATAATAATAATAATAATAATAATAATAATAATAATAATAATAATAATAATAATAATAATATTTCTGAACGAGGAAGCTACGCGTCTTAATGTTCGAAATCAAAGTGAAAAAATGAGACTATCTCTTGCGCTTGTCGAGTTACAAGAAGAAGGTCGTCCGTGATGTTAATTAGTAATAATATTATATTCGCGATTGTTCGTTCTTTTGCTCCCATTCTCTCTATCTCTTTCATTCTTTCACACACACACACGCACTCTTTCTCTCTTCTTCTCTGTCAATCTCGTGTGTGAAAAAAAAGGGAAAAAGGAATACAAACGTCGTTCGGTCTTCACAGCTAACCACAGCATTCGGCAATTATGTTTCGCTCATTTTAAAAATTACTTATATCACAATGAAACGCCAGCCGCATCCTTTTTTCTCTCGTGTTTGCTGGCACCCTGAAACGGGCAGCACCCATAACTCTCCTCTTTTGCTCGCGAAACGTTCAGCAAGGATGCGTCTACAGGCTCTGGCAGGTTTTGGCCTTGATCGAAGGATTACCGCATATTCTGCGAACGCGTAAGCTAAAGATCTGCATCTCGATCGAATTGTCACGCGCGAGATTACGGATACGCGTCGTACTTGACGATGCAGATCCATGGTCGTCGCATGGCTTCTAATCAGGCAAGAATCGATGAATCCGTTCTTTCCGTTACTGTTCTTCGCTGCTCTCCAATAGAGCGCAGCTGTCGTCCACTGATTTCACGCGAACACGATAGAACCTGGTGCCGCGTGGCACACCATACCGGTTCTCGGACTGAAAGATGAAAAATTTCATTATCAGCAGGGATTTCGACAATCGGCACGTTACAAAGCTACGCGTCTTAATGTTCGAAATCAAAGTGAAAAAATGAGACTATCTCTTGCGCTTGTCGAGTTACAAGAAGAAGGTCGTCCGTGATGTTAATTAGTAATAATATTATATTCGCGATTGTTCGTTCTTTTGCTCCCATTCTCTCTATCTCTTTCATTCTTTCACACACACACACGCACTCTTTCTCTCTTCTTCTCTGTCAATCTCGTGTGTGAAAAAAAAGGGAAAAAGGAATACAAACGTCGTTCGGTCTTCACAGCTAACCACAGCATTCGGCAATTATGTTTCGCTCATTTTAAAAATTACTTATATCACAATGAAACGCCAGCCGCATCCTTTTTTCTCTCGTGTTTGCTGGCACCCTGAAACGGGCAGCACCCATAACTCTCCTCTTTTGCTCGCGAAACGTTCAGCAAGGATGCGTCTACAGGCTCTGGCAGGTTTTGGCCTTGATCGAAGGATTACCGCATATTCTGCGAACGCGTAAGCTAAAGATCTGCATCTCGATCGAATTGTCACGCGCGAGATTACGGATACGCGTCGTACTTGACGATGCAGATCCATGGTCGTCGCATGGCTTCTAATCAGGCAAGAATCGATGAATCCGTTCTTTCCGTTACTGTTCTTCGCTGCTCTCCAATAGAGCGCAGCTGTCGTCCACTGATTTCACGCGAACACGATAGAACCTGGTGCCGCGTGGCACACCATACCGGTTCTCGGACTGAAAGATGAAAAATTTCATTATCAGCAGGGATTTCGACAATCGGCACGTTACAAGAACGTTAAATTAGCCCGGCTTAGCCCCATTTATTAATCGACCTAATTTAAATCTTACCTTCCTTGCTTGACAGTACTGCTTGTCGATAACCTCGGCAATGATGTGGAGCTTCTTCGGGGTCCCGTCCGAGCGCATTTTCAGCTTCAAGGTACTTATGCACTCCGAATTGAGAAAATAGTGCATCGAGGACTCTTGATACAGCATATACTTTTTGTGAGCCGGGTTCCAACAAACCAAGACGATGTCTCCAGGATTGCAAGTAGAGACAGTGATACGACCCTCCTCCGCTAGCGTTCCCGCAGTTTTCTCGATCTTTTTCTGCATTTGCCAGAAGCAGTACACACAGCTGGTACAAGTGAATCCGCGGAACTGTAAAGGACTACTGGTAGCATCTTGACTCGACGTTGCCTCGGAAACCATGGCCACGGAAGCATTCATTTCCTTCTCGCGAGCTTCGGTCGAATCAGCAGTGGTGACGAAGCTTCTTCTGGATCGTTCTTTCATCAGCTCGATCTCCAAGCGTTGCTTGTCCGCTTTCAACGACTCTATTTTTGTTTCCGCAGATTCTTTGCTCTCTCGAAGCGATTGCAGTTCCGCGTTCAATCTCTTGTTGTCGTTCTCCAGCAGCTCCAGTCTCCTGGATAGGCAGCTCGCGTCGTTGCTCGCTTCTAGGCGCACCTTCTTCGACTCGGATACTTCCACCTCGTCCTTATCCGTTTCCACGCTCTTCGCGACTTCTTCGAGATTGCTCTGACTCATTTCCAACCGTTCCTCGCCATGCTCCTTGAGCAATTCGCTATCTACTAGGATGTTGTTGAAGTTTTCGGACTTGATCAGTCGTCTGATGGTGTTCTTATAGCGTTTACACTTTTCAGCGTACGCGATCTCTCTCATTCGATACATCTCCATTTCCCTATCTCGTTCCTCGACAATCTGTCTGGCTACTCGCAATTCGTGATCGAACTTCGCCACGCAATCTGCCCGCTCCTTCTCGATGGCTGTACATATAGCAACCGACTTTTCTAGCTTCATGTCCTTCTCCTGGGCCATTATGCGGTTGGCCAGTTCGATCACTTCCGGTCTCTGGAATGCAAGACGAGAATTTAAAATCGCGAACCGATGCAGTCGTAACCATCGCACAGGGATCACACTTACCTCGATCTTCTCGAGGCTGCTGTCGCTTGGACTCCTCTCCATGGTAGACGCGGCCATTAGCTTGAACCGACTTCTGATGTTGTCCAGTTCGATTTTGCATTCCAACTGCAGCTTGTCGGTAGCCTCCTTCACCAGCCTTTGTTGATCGTTGCGCGCCGTATTCAAACTTTCCTCCAGCTCTTGGATCCGCGTCTGACACTGCGTCAGGGAGTTTGTCAAGGAGGCAATCTCCAAGAACCTCTCGTCGTTCGCCTCCTTCACCGCGGCTTCCTTCTCCGTTCGAGCCTGATCCAACGCATCCTCGAGCTGACGGTGCAGACGCGTTTGCAGGTTCCTCATCTCGGCTTGCTCGGTCTCTAATTTCTGCCGCATCGTCGCGACTAGACGCTCGTGTTCCGCCAGTTCGGTTTCTTTGTCCAGCAGACTACGTTTCAAGCCGCAAATCTCTTCTTCTCGGTTCTGTATTAACTTCTTCACATCGGCCAATTCGAGTTCGTGGTCTACGGTAAGCTCCTGCTCGCGTTCTCGAAGACGACGATCACATTCGCGCGAGTACAGGGACAGGGCGTCGCGGACTTGTTCCGTCATCTTGAAGAAGCCGGCCTTCTCCTCGTCCGATCGATCCCTCAGCACGGCCAACTCCTGACGAACCGACGTCAACGTCTCGTTCACCACTGCTTTCATCGTCTTCAGGATTGAGCGGAGCCTCTCCACTTCCTCGCGCGTGTTGCCAAGATTCTCCTGAAACGTTTTACCGTCAGACACACCTCAGTCATACTGTCGTTCGCGAACAAACTGGTTCAGGCGCGAAGGAACAACTGATCTGTCGGTCGAGAATTAGGAAGGAGATAAAGTGTGATAAAGAAGAAAATCCCAAAGATGTGCGCGACGATGATGTAGCAAAAAACAGTCTCGGTTAGATTGATCTATTTCTGAAAAACGAACTCTCGTGATCCGAGTATCTCGGGAAATGTAACTTAGGGCACGGAGAACGGGAGGTATCGAGTGCGACGGCAGCTATCCTGTAAACAAAAATTAAAACACACGCATTCGCAAACGAGAAACCACGCGGGATGCGGTAACGATTAAACGGACACTGACAAGCACTACTCTAGAACGGACAGGACAGAAAGAACAGATTCAAACGAATGAAAATTCGGTAACAGGCAGGCAACACAGATACATACCCGCGTGTTTCAACGATTACACAGAAGTCAGCGCTAATAGCGAATATACAGGGACAACGACAACGAAAGTACCTAGAAACCACAAAGAGGAGAGGTGACGGGTGAAGAGAAAAAATGACGAATTGACTCGAAGCTGCAGGATATGCGGATACACGAATCAAGAGCGGGTTCCAACCGAAACGAACAATGTACCATCGTAGGGCAGGTAGAGATATACTGTCGGTAGTGGAACGGTTACGGCTACGACTACAAGGTCTGTTAGCGAGCTGTAAGTCGTCCAGTACCTGGAGAAGGGAAACGATGGCCTGATGTTGGCCGTCTGCAGGATGCTCGCTGAGACTGCTCGGCAGTGACTCGTCCATGTAAAATTCAGTGGCCATGAAGTCGGTAGCGCCTATTCCAACGGAAGGACTGCTACCGCCACTGCCCGATAGCTGATGGCGTTGCTGTTGCTGCTGCTGGCCGTCGCACATCACGGACCGTGTCGAGGAAGGAAGATTGGGACTGAGGGAGTTGGACTCCTCGGACATGGGAGTGGAGGATTCCGGTAAGTCCCGATACTTGGGAAGACAGTTGTTGCCGTGACGAAGCAAATAGCTCGACTCGCCGTTCTCGACGCATTCGGTGAGCGGGCTCAGCTGAGCAGGACGCTCGCTGACGGACATACTAGGGAAATGGAAGGAGGATCCAGGCTCACTCGAAGAGGATGACCGGCTCGTCGGGTCCACGACTTTCGAATTAAGCGGGGATACGTTAGTCGAGGTGGAGGAAGCTGGGGACACGCTTCGCGAGGCACCAACCTCCAATTGCTTCTGTCGCACTTGCTTCGCGCCATCGAACGACTCCGGCTTGGAGTCTGTGGCGCCCTGACTGATCTTCTCGAACTCCTCCGTATCCGTCTCCGATTCGAAATCACCCCTGTAACAACGTAAAACCAACAATTATTAAGTTATAGAGCGGTGCGCTTCTTCCGACCAACAATAATCTCATCTCGGCTACCTGTCAGACAACGTCGGAGCCCTCGCTCGATCCTGCTCCTTGCTGGTCTCGTCGACGCGCATGGAAGCGTTATCCTTGTCCTTGGTACCCTCCGTGTTGGCCTCGGTAAGGCTCCTAGACAAGAAGAACTGCGTGATGCTGTTCAGATCCGGCGATGAGACGGTGAGCGCCAGGTCAGGTAGCTGCGATCTCAGAGATTCCATGTCGTTCACCGTCAACTGTAACAACAATTGGTTGCAAAAACCGCACGGATTTCAAGAACACGATCAAGCGTACCTTCGGTAAGTCGCTGTCGAAGACAGACGGTGCTTGCGTGGCAAAAGGAGGCGGAGTATCCTCGAGGCCCGGGAACAGGGTGTTCAAGAAATGGCCACCGAACTTGCTCTGGAATTCCCTTCTGCGAGCCAGTTCCTCGCTGTGGACGGTCAGCAATTGGCAGGCGAGATTGCTGGCCCAAACGAGGAACGCCTGAGAGAAGGTGCGCCTTCGAACCACCTCGGCCACCGCGTTCATGTACATCTGAGGCGCGAGGTGGATCTGTTGCAGCACTTCCAGATGTCGTCGTAAACGCTTCAGACTCTCGTGGTAGATCACCAGCTTGCTGTCCACCTCCATCATCTTGTTCTCCACGTACATGATCCACTTGAGGCGATGGTAGATGTTCACCGACAGCTCCTCCTTCGCTTTGGTGCATCTGCGTCGAATGTCTCGAAGCTGGTTGTGGTTCTGCAGCATAACGAGTAGTTGGCGTCTATGCGAGGTGCAGAGGTCGGGCAACACGCTGGCGTCGCCCAAGTTATTCGCTCGACTCTGATTCTGGAGGAAACCCTGGGCCAGTTCCCCTTGCTCGTGGACCAACTTCTTCGTCTGCACCATCAATTGCTCCAGAGCGAATAACCGTTCGCCGAGGCCCTTAATCTCCTTCATATCCTGCTTGTTCGCGCTGTCGATGGCCGCGTTCACCTCGGCCTTCAAAGCCTCCATCACCCTCTCGTCGAACTGCTCCAAGCCCCTCGAGCACTGCTCTGCCACCTGCTCCAGACTGCTCTGATTGTCCTTCGCCGAGATCCATCGAAGCAAGCTCAACACCTCGTCCTTGCCTTCGGAGTCCTTTTCGGGTTGAGTCGGTTGGTCGTCCGGACTCAAGAGACCCTCGGCTTGAGCACGTAACGCAGGCAGGATGGGTATTTTTGCTAACGTGCCCAGATCCGCGTTGAAACTACAGTAAGAAACGAAAAATGTAACGACTTTTCCTGGACGTTGTCGTTGTTATCGATCCTACGGAAGATACTTACTTTTGGATCAGTTCCATGTGTTGTTGCCTCTCCGAGAGGTAGACGGCGAAACTCTGATGCAGGAGATCTGATCGCGACTGGAACATTTGAGTGATGTCCTCCAGATTCGCCACCACCGCCGCCCAGCCCTGTTGCTGAAGGTGTTGATCGTGCACCAACCTCTCGCAAATCCTGGTCTGCTCCCGAGCCAGTCCACAGCATTGTTGAGCCAATTGGGCCCGGGCAACGAGGGTCTGGTACGTGGCTGGCATCGCCAACGATGCATCGATTTGACTTTGGAGATCGACATCTGCAACACGACCGTTCGCCTGTTACATCGATGACGAGTTACGAATATCGTCTTCGACTTCTTTTCGGTTTTTCCTTCGTACTAAGTCTTTAGCGCTTAAGGTTAACGCCTTCGGGTCTAATCGCGTAATAGTACATGTTTCAAAGCGACGAAGATCTTTGGGAAGTTGTAAAGTCGCTGAAGCGTACTGGAACAGCAATCGCACTTTCCCAAGGTTCATGTTCTCAGAACCTTCGAAACAATTTCAAGTAAGAAGTTAGGTCCGAACGGTAACGGTTTCACGAAACGGGGATAGACGTTCGGATTCGAGGAGGAACCAAGTTGATCGACCTCTGAAAAGACGAGCCTCTTCGCGATCGATAGCAGGCCAGTGGAAAGGTGTCGATCGAGCGGTCGCGGCTAAGCGGCAGGTATATAATTGATCGATACGAACTTTGCCAGCGTAATCTTGGCACGCGATGAAAACTCAAGGTCGCGGGCACGGCTCGCACCGTTTCAGCACCTTTACGTCATAGCTTGAATGGATTCGCGGACCGTACAGACAAATTAACCGCGCTTCCCGCTCGCGAGTGCACGAGGCGACTAGATTTCTGTCGACGGCACTGTCGATACAAGGGTCAGCGTTTAGAACGATTACAACACCAGCTACCGAAACAGATTTTGGACCATTAACGCGTTCGGTGTAGCGAGAACCTGTAGTGTTCTCTCGAACGACGCTTCTTGCAAGATATGAATGGTACACAAAATACGCGAAATATTAAATAAAAGCCGTTTCAGAAAGGCTGTTGAGTCGTTTGATCAAAATTTCCGCAAGAAAAGTGTCCACTCCCGGGGTGATCGGCGATAAAAAGGGGAACGTGTAGCACAGCAGAGAGGCCAGAAGAGTAAATCGAGGCTAAAGTGTAGGTTGCTCGACCGACGGACAATGTATCGATTTTATGCAACGTTGCTTCGTCCACGTTTTCATTTTCCTTCGAATTACCTTGAAAAACAAACAACGTTTGGGAGATCGTTGGGGCGAGAAAGAATGGGGGAGAGTGATTCGATGGCCCGAAGCACAAACAACGAATTTGCGACGATAAAAACACAGAGAGGACTCCGTTAAGACACGGCCAGGTGTTAACTCGCGTTAATAGGACGCAATGTTCGATTCGTTAATCGACCTCGAATCGCTCTATCAGCATTCGCGACAACGCGATAGAAGGGGAATGGAGAAGAAACCAGAAAGCGGAAGCGTGTCGATGATTTATTCGCGACGAGGCGAATACAGCTTCACCGTCGACTTATGCATGTTATTATGTCCATGCGGAAAGAACAGACGCCGCAACGTCTCGATCCCCAGATCCGTTCGAGTTGACCGCTAGGGATATGCATATTTCAAATGTGCAGATTCCAAACAGGAATGTTGTATAACGCGCTCGTTGCAAAATTCTCGTCACGCTCGATTAATATTATTAACATTAATGTCGTTACGAATACTAGAGATATACCAGTGATACGCGCATTTGGGGATCTCGGAATTAAAAGATTTTGCAGACCGCGATAAAGATTATCGCTATTCTAATTGGCTAAAAACACTGAAGAATTAATATTCTCCTAATCTATCTAACCGCAGAGATTACACAATCGAGGGACGGTAGCGAAGATGATGAAAATTCGCTCGCGTTTCGTGTACTGCATATAGCGACGGTGACCTCTTTTTAATCGTGCAGTTGCACAAGCTTCCGGCGCATCGCACGGTGAACCTGGCAAACAGGGGCCAAGAATTTCACGGCACGACACTGAATTCCGAGAATATCTTAACTTGGACTAATGCTCTCCTTTTCTAATTATACGTTCTGTGCGTTGCAAACAATCGTTTCGCGACAGAAACTACGTTACGTTCGGTAAAAAGGAAAAGAAACGATTGCAACGCGCGATCGGCAACCCGTGCGAAGAGTCGGCGACGCACGACAGTTCTATTTAGCGCATAAGTCTCTGCTTTTCGGCCCAGTTACACCCGAATCTTGGAAACGTGCGTGTACAACGTCTCGTAAATGTTGCGTTTAAAATAAACGATTACAGGAATCCCAGATAGTCACTAGTTTGCTTTTATTTTTCGTTTATCAACAAAATTATCTCCTGTCGCTCGTTTTACCAAATTACGCGGTTACGTGTTCATGCAAACAACCGACAGCAAAAACATCGTTCGAATAAGCACGTAGCCCGAAGCGTATTCTGGGAATATCAATCACGATATCAATTTTAAAACTTTCATTTTCCGTATTCATTTTAGTAAAACGCAATCGCGTTACATCATACGAACAACACGTATAATACGAAAGAATAAAGATACTCTACAGTTCGAGCAGCATTTCCATTTTATCGCGTTAATTCGATATTTTTTAAAGCGTTCGGAGACTCGTCGCTCGGCTTCGTGGCCGTAAATAAATTCTTATCACGGTATTTGCAACCTTTCGTTAAAATTCCGGCTTAAAATTATGCGGCTGATTCATCCGTGAATATCCAGATAATCGGATATTAGTCTATCCGATAAAACCAGTTAAACGGAGCGCCATTTCTAATGTCACGTTTCATTGGGACTAGTTAAAGGGTTAATGGGTCACGCTATGATCCCCTCGTCGTGCCAGAGACGATTGCGAATGCTCTTTCATTCGAGACAGTCCTCGACTGATGATCCGTGTCCGTTCGTGGCCAACGAAAGCCATTGGCAAACGCCTAGATCGAACCGCGTGCACGCATGAATGAAGGGATTGAAACAGCTCTATGGGGCACGCGATCAGATATCTAAAACTCGCTCGAACCGTACAAAAAGATAGCTATCTATAACTTTCTGCGAACTGCCTTTCAAAAGGAACGAATTCGTTTTATTTCTTTGTCGCGTTATACTGCCCCGCGTGATATTGCTGCACATTCGATCGTTAGATCACCGACCGTTCTATCGCTACGAAAATCTGCAATTTTTACATTCTCGAATGTCGGCGTTTTGAAATTTGACCTAGTCCCGTCTCACCTGCAGCCCAATGGCGCAAAATTGTTTCTCAAAGAACACGGAAAAAATATATTATTTCACGAGTGTTTTTAATCGAGAATATGATAATTAAGGAAGCACATAGACAACACCTCGGTGAGTCATCTCCGTCCACGCTATTTTTTCGATGACCCACGGTTCAACCACGCACATCGTTAAAAAGGCATAAATTAAAAGTTGCCTCCTGGCGGCTAGCGAAACTCGTGACTTTTGCCACGTTTTTCCGATCGAAACGCCTCTGCTTCGTCGCAAAACAAACGTAATCGTCGAGAATATCGTTTCGTGAAAACAAACTGCAGTACGTTCTTTCGCCAACGGATGCATATACATATACATATATGTAATATGTGATATAAAGCGTCGTCTTTTCGAACGAATACTTTTCAAACGATGATCGTCCATATGAATGAAGGGATTGAAACAGCTCTATGGGGCACGCGATCAGATATCTAAAACTCGCTCGAACCGTACAAAAAGATAGCTATCTATAACTTTCTGCGAACTGCCTTTCAAAAGGAACGAATTCGTTTTATTTCTTTGTCGCGTTATACTGCCCCGCGTGATATTGCTGCACATTCGATCGTTAGATCACCGACCGTTCTATCGCTACGAAAATCTGCAATTTTTACATTCTCGAATGTCGGCGTTTTGAAATTTGACCTAGTCCCGTCTCACCTGCAGCCCAATGGCGCAAAATTGTTTCTCAAAGAACACGGAAAAAATATATTATTTCACGAGTGTTTTTAATCGAGAATATGATAATTAAGGAAGCACATAGACAACACCTCGGTGAGTCATCTCCGTCCACGCTATTTTTTCGATGACCCACGGTTCAACCACGCACATCGTTAAAAAGGCATAAATTAAAAGTTGCCTCCTGGCGGCTAGCGAAACTCGTGACTTTTGCCACGTTTTTCCGATCGAAACGCCTCTGCTTCGTCGCAAAACAAACGTAATCGTCGAGAATATCGTTTCGTGAAAACAAACTGCAGTACGTTCTTTCGCCAACGGATGCATATACATATACATATATGTAATATGTGATATAAAGCGTCGTCTTTTCGAACGAATACTTTTCAAACGATGATCGTCCATCGACAAAGAATCGTGAATGCAACGAATACGCAGAGCTCTAGTGTATGACGTATAGGCACGATATATCAAACACTTGGACCGGGTCCCAGCCTTGAGGGTTTATTCTAGTAACACGAGGGTTTCCTATTCGGATCTCATGGTTCTCGATCGCTCCTCATCTAACGGATGATAATGATTCGTCCCGAGAGTACTCCGATTCCTGTGCCCGTTTCTTCGTAATGTTTCAAAGAAGAAGACTCGAGTCGTACCGCGTATTTCAACGGATGCAGCCCGCCACCCCGTTGAAACCTTGTATATTATTGGTTTTGCGTTTCACGCTGGGGTGCCAACAGCTTAGGCTAGAACCTTGGCTACGAGAAAGAGAGCAGTCGCGGGTTCCACGAGACCCGTGCCGAATGACAAAAACCTTGCCTGGTTATGCACTTGTACGGATTGTGCGAATACGTAAAATCCATTCGACTTTACACGCGTTCGACGCATAGATCTTATCACGACACTCGTCTACGGACATTCAAAGATCTATTCATATTTACGGATCCGAAGATTTTGGGATTTATGAGTAGCATCCGAAATTCTTGATACGACACGGTGACAGCCACCCAGATATCGAGGACTTACTTATTTAGCTTCTAGGTACCGATACGTCGAGCTCGAAATTCTTGTCGGATCAAACGAATACCGTGAACCCGCGAATCTTTTCGTAAACACGTGCTACGAGACTGTCCTCACGAAGCTAATGCTATTTACCGTGTTATTCGCTCGTATCTCCGTACGTTTCACGAAACCAGCCGCACGATACGACGCTTGATATCTGCTCGTAAATGTCCCGATAAAAAAGATCGCTGGCGAGTCGTGGCATGTTAATAAATCTCGCGGTTCAACGAACCGCTACACGTATTTCGCTATCGGGATTCGCGTTTCTTGCTCGATCGCGGCTGAATCGTAGACGCATCGCGTTTCGATGCGCAAAGAAATATAGACCCTTCAGAACAGTGATCTAATCGTAAGGAAATGAAATGGAATTTTGAAATATATCAGAAAACGCATGCGTTGTGACCACTCTCTCGCAAGAATTTATTTGTTTGATTGGTTAGAAAACACTTCCGCCATAATCGTAGACTAATGGAAGCAGCATTCTCCTCATTTTTCCATTCTCTTCCATTCCCCAGTATATTCCCTCGCGTGGCAAGAATACGCGTGACGAGGAATGATACGGCATTAAATTCGAAGCAGACAACCTGGCACCGCTAGACTCGCTCTCTGTCCGATGCACGTGTTCCAAGCGGATACTCTCGCGTGCTCGCACGTGTACGCTCTAGCCTTATTTTCCCTGCCGCGTCAAAATCGAAAATAAAAAGCCTTTTCTGCGCTGGAAAATTTCCCATTAAAATAGCTCCAAACTGTTCTTCGAATTTATTTATTATATACAATATAATGTGTAATGATCGCTCCAACAGAAATTTACACTTCGCTTAGTAGAATGCGCTTCTACCGTAACCGTGGCTTAACTCGCAACAGACCTAACAAACGTCGAAGTTTCCCTCGCATGTTCATTTTCACGGGCCAATTTCGTTCTCGAAATAGCCGCTCTCTTAAATCTGCTAGCTTCTACGCAAGTTATTCTTGGTCCAATAACAAACATTGCCGAACAGTGCAGGCGCAACAATGATTCTTTTCGATCGTTCGCGATGGAGTATTCCATCGAATGCAGAGAAACGGCAAGAAGAAGGAAATGGTACTAAAAACAGCTGCGACATAATTGTTGGCCGCAATTTACTGTCACCGTGAAAATAACGTTGGTGCAGAGCGCGGAAATGCGGCGCGAGAAAATATGAAACGCAGGAAAAAATGTTGGGAGAAAAGCTTAACAGCCGCCTACTGAAATCATCGTAGTCGCTTGACCGTGACAAATCGATGGTTCGATAAGGAATTACGATGCGTGAAAATCGTAAGTGAAAATCCTCGTCCGACGATGTATCTCTGATGAGAATACACTTGATCACCACCCTCGTTTCAACGGAGTAGAATCGATACGAGCCGTGTATCGACTCTGTCGGCCTCGTTTGGTCCTTTTATGTAACCACCGACAGGACGTTGGGAAAACAGAAAGGAAAGTGGAGTGTGTCTGTGTGGGAATATTAGCCGTCTGTTGCTTAACCTTCTTCTCGCGCAATTCTATGGCGATTCAAAGCAAAAAACTCAAGCTGCTTGCTTCGACGATTTAGAAAACGTGGATGGATTTGTCGACTATCAAACATTTGTCCAATCAACTTTGATGACGAAGTATGCGGTCATTAACTGTAAATATAAAACTTTACAAACAGAATGTCATTCTACTGGTCATTTATTCGAGAATAAATTGTCATTTTTCGAGGATCAATAAACATTTATTTTTAGTCGAACTATGTACAAGGAGTTATGTATACACTTTTGCCATTTTAACGGTGGTTTCTCTATGCCGTTATAGAAGACCTTCGACGATCCGTCGGGAAACGAAGAATTTTCCCGCCAAGAAGTTGGCCAAATTTCGAGAGCGGTGGTGGTCGATGGGGAATAGGTCTGGTAAATATGATGGGTAATGGAAAGCTTCCAACTCCGACTTCTGTAGCTTCTGCACAGTGATTTGTGCGATATGGGGTCCAACTGGGTCGTGCAACAGGAATGAACCAATTTTTCCGGTTTTCCGATCAATTGCTCGGCATGGCTTTGGTAGCCAAAAACAACGTTGACGTTATGGGTCGTTTCCAACATTGTGTTTCCACGAATCCGTACTCGAAAATCACACCAATTTTTGCGTACTCTGCAAAAATCGGCCAACCGATCAAAGCAATAAAGATATCGTAGTGAACAAATAAGGCGAATACCGAGGATACATCTTTCGACGTAAAGTAAAGTCACTTCGAAATGACAGCTCCGAATGAGATTCTTTCTCGCTGAAACTTTGTTAATGGTGTTGGTAAAGAGAAAGGCACGAAAATAGGCGTGATTGTTTCAGCGATAGCGGACAGCGCTGTTAGCTCGATCAAGAAATTTTCTTCGTTCGCGAAACGACTCGAAAGCGTGGAACATAATTGTTCGTGCAAAGAGTTGGCTCCAAGTTGAAGCTACGTCTACAAGAAAGTACCTCTGCGACAGATTTTTCGACTTCCAGGCGCCAGCAGCGTCTCATTGCTGAATTTCCAAATAATCAAAAATTTGTGGATCGATCCACTTCGAAACCGTACAATCAATCTACAGGATCGAAAACAAATATAATACATACTTATTAAAATACAACTCGGAAGTTGGTCTTATTCTTGCATTCATAGTATATGATTGATGGTGGAGATATTTTCTTCGATTATTTCTGCTGGCATTAGTCGAGTTAACGTTCAGAACGGATAGGCTGGGTTTTCCACGACCCTTGTATCTAGCCGCGGTCCACTTCGAGGCGGACTTTCACGACGTTGATATGCTCGATAAAAAAGCGCGCTCGACGAGAGAGGGAGAGAGAAGAGGTGTGCCAACGCCAAGAAAGAATATTAATTCCAACCGAGCGTTTCACTTGTGCGCATTGTTTCGTCCAACACTTTAATTCACGGGATTAAAAGTGACAATTTTAGGGTAAAAATGAAAAGCTCAGCAGCTATCGTTTAAAAAAAAATCTCTTTCCTTCATGAAAGAAGGTGCTTATATTAAGAACTCGCGCGAATAAATATTAATGGTGTGTCATCAGAATTATTTGGAATCGCATCGAATATTTATGCGCCAATCAACGTCGAACGACAATCGTTACGCTACCAATATTACTCACGGTATTTTGCCCATAAACAACACTCGGACAAACATAAAGGTAATTTCTTGTTTAAGTTATACATTTTTTGTTCGACGAAAAAAAGTTTGCAGCGTTGGTTCACGGAAAAATCCATCGAAAACATCCGACATTCCTCTGGAAAGACGTCCGCGATTCGACGTGTCGATAAACGAAGGCAAATCGCAGAATACAGAGGTGCGAAACCGAGCATCGGAAGCCAAGGAAGAGCGCTTAATAAAAGGCCTCCTTCGCGTTGGCACTCGGCATCGAGCCGAACCGATATTCTTTATTTAGCTGTCGATAACCAATCGGCCGGGTTTTATTTAGACCCCGATACCATTTCTCCTCGCTTTTCTCCACACAACGATGCTCATTGTTACAAAGAAATCTGCTCTACGATTATCGTCAACGCCCCAACTGTCCACCATCCTCTTTCGAAACCTCTAACAATCTCCTCGCCACCTTTCATGCTCAGGGCCGGCAGAAAAATATGTTTTCGCGCAAACATCGTGTTATACAAAAGCATTTATCGATTTACCAGCTTTGTTGTTCGCTGCTTTCAATTTTGATTTTATATTTTCATCGTAGCGTAGAAACGCACCCCTCGAGCAGAGGATACTCGCACTCTTGCGAAATATATTTTGCATTTCACAAAGCCTTACGATCGTAAAGAGTCTCGCAAACTGAAACATTCGAACTCTCTGAAAGTCCGCAAATTCATAAATCTGAAAGTCTCAAAGACCGTTTTGATCGAACGCTCTTCTCGGAAAGGAGCAATCGATCAAATATAACGCGCCGATTAATAACGAGCCGATTATTCGCTAGAACAGAACGAGCGAAACGATCTCGGCCGCATGGAGAAACGAGAAATATTCTTGGAACAAACGTGAAACGTTAGAGTATAAGAGGAGACAATCTATGTATACGAGTGTGGAGCAGCACGTGCAGCAAACGTGTTCGAATTGAAACGAAGTCGAAGAAGAAGAAGACAGAAGAGGCGGTCTCTCGTGCGACCAACCAGTCGTATCACGATCCGCGTGTGTTCAAGTACTCGATGACCCGGTCGTCTCACGTTCTATCGATAGTAGAAGCCACTTACGTGACGTTTTCCAGTCAGCTGACGATACGATGCGCGACGATGCGTCAGCAAAGCGGCAAAATGTATAGAACGATCGGGCCGGCGCGGAGCATTCGTTCGAACAGCCATGGTTTCTCTTTTGCTGCACCGCCAATGTAACAGGTGCGACGATGGAATTGAACATCAAGGATAAGAAAAGTGGAACTTTGACGGACGTTACACGATTCGCGGCTGGGAAAATTGCCATAAATTATCTTCTGTATAAAAGAATAATAACCGGTCGTTAAAAAATTCCACACCTATTATTTCGTGTTATAAATTCTATTCGAACAATTTCAATCTAATCTTCTCGAGTACTTAATTATAGGATAATGATCTTCGCATGTGCACCCAGTATAGAATTTAAGAACGGTCGAACGCGCACGTGTGCATCTTCGGTGTCAGCAAGGGGGTTAAACGACGAACCGAAACGGTTTATCGTACCGGTGGTCACCAGAGACCTCCCGCGACGTTCAACGTGTTAATTGCCCGGCTAGAGAAAATGGTGAAGTTAAGGAAAGCCAGGATTATCGATAGGTGTCGGATCGATCTCGCATTGTCAGTTTCCAATGCGGGTAAAACCGAACCTGTTTATTAGCACGTTTTCTCGGCGAAAAGGAGAGAGATTTAATCGACGAGTTGCATAATGTTCTTGGTAGGAAGTTTTGAAATGAAAGATAATTAAAGTGGTGAACGTAATGATCTTTAGTTGCAGGGAATAACTGGGTCAGCTTGATACGCGTGTTTACGAACAATCTTGACGATTGTAGGAATGAAAATTCAATGGAAAGGAAAATCGTTAAGTTAGCGAAAAAGTTTCGAGTACGGAGTCCAAAGTATGGAGTCTAAGTCCCGCCGTCGTCGACTTTCCGGACGTATCCATCGGGAAACACGATCGATTTATCGACGAAAAGAAATCCATTCAAGTCCCAGTTTCGTTAGTTCGAACGAAGAAGAAAAGTAAAGGCTCGTAAGAACCGAGAAACAGTATGATAAAGCGATACTTAAATCTATGTAGCGTTATTCGAACTTTGTTCCGCGCCGGATACGTAACGATCGTAAAAAGTGACAGAAACAGGCTACCTGTGCTCGCTAAAATTCAAAACCTGGCAGATCTTCCGTTACGTCAGATTTATTGTAGGCAGAATGATGTAAGTGTATGTGAAACAATGATATAATCTCGAGGGAACGCAATACAGAGAAATCTGTTGGTTTGACAAATCGTGGAAACGTACGTTGTTCTTTTTTCTAACGTTTTATTGAGAACCGAGCTGCCAGCATTTTCCACAATAATTATTGCGATTCGATTGAATTTTATTAACAATGTAAGAGGTTCCCGGAATCTTACTAGCGTGCGCTCTTTAATTATATCCTTGTTCAACTCTCGATTGATAGAGCGAAACCTCGTTACGCAACTCGCAGTCGTCAATTTGCGATCCGTCAGAAAGCCAGATGTAACAATACGTTCTATGAAACTGTACGTTAATTCGATTTAACTCCGCTGCTTGAAGGTCAATTATCCCAAAAGTGAAATTAACCCTTTGTAGTCAGGGTTATCCGCGACATAACGCCTTCGACGTTCCACTCGTAAGCAGAGACGTTGGAAAATTATCTAATACTCCACCTCTTTACCTTAGACGCGATATCGCGTTTACCTTGAAGCTCAGCAGAAACTCGGACGTTCGTTTATATTTTCGATTTAAACCAAGTTTTTGCAGTTGCACTCGAGATCCATCCAACACGCAAGAATAACAATATATTGATTCCTGGAATTTTAAACATGTGACACGAGGAATAAACCGAAGGCTGTTCTGTCTGATCTAGAGACCTTGAGATTAAGAGAATTAAGGGATCTAGAGAATAGAGGTATCTAGGACATTGGGATCCAGAAGGTCGTTTGTATTGGGATTATGGTACATGGGGATCTAGATAAATAGGGTGCACGTTTGGGTCGTAGGCAAATGTTGACACTGAAGAAGTACAGGGGTCCAATAACGCGTTACTTCGATGAAATTGAGCCGACGTTCGTCGCGTTAAGCAATTTAGCCAGATTGGCCCAGTTTTGGCTAGAAATCAACGCCAAGAAGACACCAATTGACGAGCGCTCGTCGGATTGTAGAGGAGCAGATTGTTATCAGTCGGATAAAAGAAGTGTGTCAAAGTTAGTCACGAGGTTCGTTCGCGCGGGTCAGTCTTGTTGCGTCTATCGTTCGTAACGAGTAGCCGCGCTTCGTCGCTCGTCACCGTCTCTTTTTCTCGACTACGAATCGACAAAATGCTCGATAAGAAACGAACCGTTACGGGATTAGCCGAGTCGTTCGATTAGCTGAACCGTGGCCAAACGAGAAACCTGCTTCTTCTCGCGACTACGCCGATTTTCCAACCGTTCGTAATACCTTTGTGAAAAAATAATAGAAAACGTGCTAATGGAAGTCTACTGGGACAAACAAAAATAATGAACTAACCGTTCCGAATAGAAAATAATATCTTCTCAGGCTTTTAAAGGAAATCGATGGAAAAAACCTAATGCACAGTTTAAAAAAACAATAGGTTTATAATTTATTAATACACTTTTTCATCGGATGAAACAGATATATTTCTTGTTACATATTAAATGGAGAACGTCCTTGATCGTGGGTCGATGAGACCGGCTCGTTTCGCCAGGAAAATCGAAAGTGCAAGGCGATAAGAGCGAACTTGATCGTTACTTCATCGGTAACCGGTGGAAACGGTCGATGCGAGGAGCATCGCAACGGGTTACCGGTGGTCTGTGGTCGCGTTACCTCCAGGAACGTCGACTACCGCGTTATAACCCGAGCCAACCGACTACAGATAAAACGAGCGAATGCGAAACAACCGCTGCTCCATGCGCTGCAATCGATTTCGCGACCCTTCGAAACCACTGGGTTAACGTGCCAAACTTTTATCAACTTTTATCAAAAGTCCTCAATTCCCAAAATTTTAACCAAAACACTCTGGCAGATTAGCACTTCGCATGGCTTAATGCGCGATAATATAGTCTCTCTTTTTCTATCGATACGTAACAAGGTTTATCGATAAGTGGCATATTTATTAAACACGGCTGGCGGTAGTGGTAAATATTGATAAGGATTAATCGTCTCTAGCCGATTTGAAACTCTTGTCTGAACCCGTGACCCGTTGCTCGACCGGCGGGAAACAATCGAGTAATATTGTACGAACAAAGGATTCGGCCAATGAGTTGTTCACGCCCGAGGGTTTGTGCGTTAAAAAGGACGAGCAACGTCGTTCGATCAACGCCGAGGAAAACTCGTTTCGAACAAAGAAATTTCGAGGGTCAACAGCAGGTAGACGGCCTTTCGAATGATCGTCGTACCTCTGATTTCCAGTTCTCACAGGTTTCGAAATAAAGGATGCTCCTTCGATTTACGCCGTTGACTCAGATGGCAACAAGAAGATTTCGAGTCTGCACTCTTCCAATTGTTCTAATATTGGAATAACTGCCAATAATTGCTCCAGCTCCTTCAAGAAATCAGAAAAGTAAATAATGTAACATACAATTCGAGAAAATAAATAAACGCAGAAAATGTGTAGCAGTATGTTGGCATTGTGTCTGCTTACGGTACCGAGAGCACAAAGACAACCTTTTAGCCTCATACTGTCACACGAGTATCGCTATCTTTCCGCTGATATCATCTTCCTTTTTTTCCGTCTCTTTGCACTGGCCGATAAGCATCGTTATTAGCCGTGTCCTTCCGGCACGATTCCCGGTTAACGAAGCCGAGAACGTGCAATCTTGTCGGCAACGACTCCTCGCGAGACACTCGTTCAATCACGCGCGTAACATTTCGTCGAACGATGCATTAAGCGACTAAAATAACCGTTGTACCAGGCACGAAAATTAGGACTAAGGTCAGGTTCGCGTTCGTATCGATATACGAATAAACGAAACGTAAGATCGTAAGTACGAGGAAACGGCATGGAAGACAGTAGAGCGTGAACGGGTAAGGCTAAGGAAATTTACAGGTGGAAAAGGTTCGTCACTCACCGGAACCGTAGTCTATACTCGGCGTGGGTGGAAGTTGGCTCTCAATTGCGGCCTTGCTGAATAAATAGATCGGATTGGTATCGGTTCCAGCGGAGTAAGAGCACACACGAGCATTTGGTTCCAGACTTTCGCCTCCGCTCATCAAGAGCACCTGGTGAGCCGCTACCACGCCGCATTCCCTCTCGATCGCTTCCTTCAGCTGAGAGACACTGCACAAAAACGTGAAAAAGCATTGGTTAGGACGCTGGTACCATATTTTCTCTTATTAACAGTACACGATACATATAAAAATAATGAATTCCTGATATCGCGAAATCTCTAAAATTTCTCGGACATCTACCCCGACACAGAAAGCGAACCAGACGACTAATATGAAAAATGATCCGCCCGGACGATAAATTGTACAATAAACCGTAACAGTTGTACAGCTTCAGCGTCGTCGATTCCGTGATTAAGGTCAAGATTATCTGTAGCCGTATCAGAGACTCCGCTCTTAAGAACAGCCAACAAAAGTCGACGAGTAATTGGGGAAACTTGCAAGACTTCTGCGTGGAGAATCTAGCACGAGGGACCCACCTTTCAGCGTCCGGAAAAACACTGTTACCTGACGGGTTACGGGTCTGTACGACCCGGTTCTTGCCACGGTAATTGCCGGATGACGCGTTTCCGTAATTCGTGTGGAAAGGAACGAGGTTGAAAAGTGGGAACGGACAAGATGAAAAAGAAAGGAAAACGAACCACGGCCGAACGGTTAATCGAAACCTACTTTCGATCTCTAAGAAGATTCTCTTGTTCTTTGACATTTGGTAAATAGAAATTCGATGCGAATATAATGCAAGTAGGTTACCTTACACTTGGGTACTTAAAAAAAAAAACTCGAATGCACTTGATCCGGATTCGATTGTACAGTTGGGTGTGGATTATAACGTGCTGCACATCGAAGCGTTTTTAATCAATTCGAATTGTATGCATTGTACAGAATTGTAGCCCAGCAAAGTTAATCTCGTAAAACCGTACCACGCGGAATGTATGCAACGATGTCAAAAACAGTGAATCGTATATAGATGAAATTGCAATCGCTATCGCGACGAGGGCAGGTTGCATGAATTTTATTACACAGCTCGCTGTTACGAGTCGTCTCGAAGCTCTTCTCAGGCTCGCCACGGACACACGGTGGCTATAAATTGAACGTAAAAGGAACTGGAACGGTGCGAGCGAGACGTCATCAACACCCTCGGCAAGGTTAAATAACGGATAAGGAGAACTCTTTGTTCGATGCGAGGACAACGTGAGTAGCATCGCGTATTAATTACAAAAAGAAGCTCTCCGCGGGTGTCGCTCGGAGCGACAACGCAGCGGGACACTTTATTCGGCCGACTTTATACTACATCTATCACTCGTTAAAGGGAATCGTTTCTTTTTTTTGCATTCGAACGCATTTGTACATCCCCCGTTATGACCCTGTATCTATTATCAACTTGACTGTATTGCCAATTCGTCTTTGATTCTTAATATCCACGGATTTTCTCACGGCGAACTACCCCTGCGACCGAATAGTTTCGGAGAAAAGTGGTTGTACACGTGACGGAATAACTCGGGTAAATTGCTAAACGGCTAAACGGTGAAATTACATCGTCTATTGCTCGCGTCTCGTTCGCGTAAACCTGTTTCCGTAAACGTGCAGATACGAACGAACATAACTTTTATTCGGAGGCGATATAAGACGGTGTTGTGGGCAAGAACGGGGACGCGGTACGTTAACGGTACGGATAGCGGAGAGGGAAAAGTTCGGACGGAACGAGGTTAACGCGAATTAGGAAAATAAAACTGAATAGGCGTATCCACGGGAATCGAGGAAACACGCCTTTACGATGCTACATAAAGTGTATCTCCATTATTCCGATTAAACAGCGTTACGGTTCGCGTACCATCGGATGGCTAAATCGAATGTGTTTTCTCCGTATCTTCGCTGGCGAAAAGAAAGTCAATCGAATCCAGGTCTCTCGAGATTACCATTCAGCCGAATCTTTTTCCGCTTTGCAAACGATCTGCTGTTTACGTGTGTTGCTCGGGGCGAATCGAAGGAGACTTAGTAATTGAGTGGATAGAGCGATGGACACATTCACGTATATGTTACTTCGCGTTCGGTAATCGAACGTTAGAGATGTTCAGAAATTTCTAAACTCGATCGATTCGAAAAGATTAGAAAATTCGATCGTGTTCTCAGACTCGAGAATTACGTTCATGTTAATTTCCCATTTATACGATAAATTATTAAAGACGAGGCGGTGCTTAATTAGATATAAAATTGAGTAACTCACGCAAATTATTCTGAAATCACCGAACGTTGCAACGGGCTCGATTCTTGCCAACTAATTATTAATTAATTAATTAAATTTTAAAGTTGAACGCAATTTACATTTATTTACGTTCTTACGTAACATGTTAAAAAACCTGAATAACGTTCTGAATTGCTAATGTATCGATTGTGAGCGTTAACGCTTGCATGACCATCAGTTTTCGTAATATTTTCCAGTGACCCTCTTCAATTTAGGTAGTCATTTTTCATTAGCAATTTCGCGTTTAACGAACCGTTGTTGCTCGTGTCATTGCGGACGGTATATACGTGATTATATCTCTGGCGTTCTTGGAACGAGCTTAGCCAAGCCCTTGTAAGCATCAGAGGAATAGCTTGAACGATCCGACGCGCAGAAAAGGCGCCCTACTCGCGGATACCTTCAATATTTGTGCATTAAGATAGCGGCTGCCGGTCAACGACCTCGTTCGTCGAGGCAATTAACGATGTGTGTCGATCCATGGTGGCGCCTTCGCTCCGTTGCTTTTATTCTTTTGCGCGCGTGCAAACGCAACACCGTGTAACACCCTCAAAACTTCGAACAAACACTGTCGCGCCGCTACTCTAACTAGCTTTCTTTTTGCTGGGTCCTCAACGTTTGCTAATGCCGGCGACATAACACGGTGGCTACGAGATAGTCGCTACAGAAAATGTAGTAACCTCAGTTTCAGCTAATTTAAGTCTCGTAAAATGGTAAATCTGAAAATCGAGAAATAAAAGATGCCTGATTCGTTAATCTACGATTGTCACGCTCGTCTGGTCCGATCGTAGGAGCGTCTGTTCAGGGAGCATAATGAAAGCTCGTGGAGCAGGCTGCGTGCCCACGTTCGTCCGTGAACGGTTTTGCAATTTGTTCACCTTCGGGAGAGCCTTGACACTTCCACGTCGTGTCGTTGTTCGCGATACTCGCGACTCCGAGCAGTTGCTAAATGACAAACGACGACCAATCGCGTGAACAAGCATCGATCAATGGTTGCGGACACGTTACGTGCTCGAGCCACGCGATATGCAAAAAAATACGATGGAGATGATCGAGATTCGTTTGTCGCGAACTCGTCGATCGTAAGAAACAGGTGTAAAATTTAAGAGATTTCTCTTAAAGGTCTGAAAACACGAAATAATAGTGTACGACTATCGCGAACGTTCGAGTGAAAGGGTTAAAGAACTATGATCACGAACTCAAGGACCTACGCTTTCGATACACCTCTTACTCGGTATAACATTTCTTTCCCCATTCAAATTCGCGTTACATTCATTCGGTTTTACATTTCGTTTCTACCAAATTCAACATCGATATCTAATGCTAGGCAAAATTTTAATTTCAAATAACACGTATCAGCAGGTGTATTTCTGAGAGAGCATTTTATGCGCTGGCAAATTTTCGCGAAAAGAATACATTTGCCGTTCGCGCATGCAAGGAAGTAAGTTTCACAGCGAGCTGGTGCGATAACTATCGGCACGAGTTTAACGAGGGAGTCTAATCTGGGCGTAATATCGAGCGGGCCTTTATTATGTCAGAAATAATGCGGACAGAGGGGAACTAGGAAACGTACGGGGTTGGATTAGTTGCAAACGGCAAGATACACGCTCGAATAACCGAAACCTATCCCAACTCGCACCTGACCAAACCTACTAGATGCTTGTATTTTAAAGCTCCTTTCCGAACTGACGAGAACAGAGGTATATTTAGAATCGACGTTTATCCAAATCTGACCCAAATGTAACCGAAAGCTAAGCAAACTCGTAGATATTTCGACGCAAACTTCGAAGCAAACTAGACGGGAGTTTTCAAGTGGACAACAGAGTCAACTAGACGGAATATGTGCACGCGTATATCTCTCGACGAGCAATATCTCAAGAATGTGTTGACACGGAGTACGATCGAAGCTTTAATTAAGTAAACAATTAGTAAGTAATATCGCGACAACGTATCGTCCTAATCGTCGCATTCGAGACGCAGTCACTTACTCTTTACAATTATGCAAACGATACCAAGTTGTAATTGGTCAGGGTATTCTATGGTAAATATTTTTGTTTTGAACGTAGGTGCATTCGCGAATAGTGTAGCGATAGAGGAAGGTTAAGCAGAGAACAACACGGCTCGAATAATTAAATCTCCGTAACGTAATGTGCGATACGCGTGACGTACGATCGAAGTTGTCCTACATTCGAAATAGAGACTCGTTGAAGGTTTATCAGGCCAAACTCGAGGGGTACCATCGTTTTTGTTCACCGGCACAATCGTCTGGTAAAACTGGCTTACGTTCTTCTAACGAAAAAAGCACCGGAGCGAGTACCGCGTTGCAGCAATTACAGCGTTCGTTTCGAGTGGTTCGCGAAAGAAACGAGGATAAAGCTCTGTTTGATGCGGTATAAAGAAGCAAAAGGCGAAAGTATATGGCGATCGATTATAACCGATTGCGGTAGGCAACGGACGATGGCTCTTAAATAGAAATCATAATCTATAGAACGTTTCCTTTCTTTGTGTACAGAAATACTTACAGATAACTGGCATACGCGATCAAAGTTAATTACACTTCGGACTAAAGATATTAAGTGTTAACTATACCATTTTTCAGAATAATCCGGGACAAAAATCGACTGCATCGAGTCGAGTTACGACACATTCGATCGCGCAACATAGAACTACATGTATTGTACAGAATTGACCCGTGTCGAAAACACTTTAATTCCCGCGAACGTGTAGAATTGAATCGCGTCGAATGTATCTGCAACGAATTGAATCGCGTGAAATTCAATCACACGGAATTAAATTGCGTGAGAACAGAATTTGGTGGAATGAAATCGTATCGAGTGGAATTGAATGGTATCGAACGAAATTACATGGAACTAAACGACGTCAAAATTTAAGCTGTTTCCTTGAAACTTTGTTTCTGCTGTTCAAAATGCTTTCCCTCTGCCGAACAATTTGCGACCGTACTATACCTGCGAACCTAACTGCTTCGTGCGAATTAAATGTACCCCATTTTACATACTTTTAAATTTCGTAAGTGAAAAATAATAATAAGAATAATTGACACAGTTTACACGTTCAAAACAAAAAGGAACGCAACGCGAAACAAGTCCAGAAACTACTCGAAATTCGATTCATAACCTTATTAGAAAAGTGACCGCTATCGATAAATAAAAAAATTAGTAAATAGATAAAAAAATAAAGACGAAGGGTAAACTAACGTCTGCAGCGCCAACTTGATGTCGAAGGTGATGGTGGTGCCGGTGTCCACGTGGAATATGTACAACATCTTCGGGCCGGTGAAGCTTCTTCGAGTCCAGCGACAAGAGGGAAACGACCAGGCCGATCGAGAAACACCAGTGGCATCCGGTGAAGTTCAGCCTGCACGACACCCGAAGAAGACGAGGAGTAGCCTCTGTCGCGTCAGCTCGACTCCTGTAAGTCAGCTCGATCGGGGCCGTACCCCTGGTTTCCCACAGCTGGCGAGTACGGCCCCCCCGGGTTTATGCTGCATCGATCACGGCCACGAATCCGTCGTTCGTCGTCGAACTCTCACCGGCTTTGGCCAGCTTTTCGTCGCAAAAAAAAACGAGCAACGCGAATCGTTTCGGTCAACGACGCGTCTACGTTGAATTTCGCACGAGTCTTCAGCTTGTTCAGCGAGCGAAAATATCACGAGATCATTGGTAACTAAGAAAACGAGCGAGCCGCACACAGCCTTTCGGAAGGGAAGCTATTGTCCGTCGGTCGAAAAGGCCGAGACTGGTCGGCTCGGTAAAACTATAGAAGCGAGGTATAATCCGCTGGAACGCGGGGTCGTTTTACAGGACGGTTATCTGATTTTCACGACGGTAGGCTCCCTCGGAAACAACTGACACTCGAACGCGTCTTCGATAGATTGCGTTACACCGAGAAAACGATTCTAAAGGTTGTGGTCGTTGGTCCGTCCAGTTCCGACGATCGCACTGTTGCTTCCGTGAGCATCGGTCGGTCGCGTACTCCAACTTTTTCGTCGACCACTGATCCCTTTGGACGCGTCTTCCCGTCGAATAAGCTCGAAATCACCGTTGCAACGATATGGAGGACAGGCTGACGCCGAACTTTCGGATCAGCTGCTCGTCAAAACAAAGCACTCGCGCGTACACGAAAGGCTAGCGAGATCCTTTCTCCGCGAACCGCGTTCGTACACTGACGGGACACTACACGATCGGCGGTTAATATTTCGTGGATCGTTCGTGGACGAAACGATTCGTCGTCGGATCAAGCAGGACGCCAGGATCTGGCTTTGTATCGCGACGAACCGTGTATACGCCGAGAGTGACGTACCGACCACAACAAACAATGCTGCGCCACTCGCACGGGAACCTATGCGCAGAGATCGAAGCACGGAACAAAGAAACTCCACTTTCGCTGCGGATTCTCGCGTTTATTTTATTCGATCGCGTTTACTTGTTCGTCCGTTTCGCGTTAGCTGCCAAATTTCACACACGCGAATGCGTCGAACGGTCGTCCGCTTTTATCGAAGCTCTTGCACCGTGTTACCCGACAGTGAAAAAGTAGAGGGGCAACTAGCTTGGCGCAGTCCCGTTCGACATCTTGCTCTGACGCATCGCGTCGCCAGCTGTTTACTGCCGAGTACGGACCCGGTCGAGTACGGAGGACAGAACGTCTCGCCGTGTGATTCGCTTGCGCAGATCTTCCACTCGCCACTCAGCTGTTACCCCCGCTACCGAAGCGCCATCTCATCATCAAGATGGCGTGGGTGACGCGAGCGTCGGTTTGAACGTGTTAAACGTGTTTCTCTTTTTGCTAGTGTGTTCGCGATATTAATTTTTAATAATATTTTTCGCTGACACGTGTAAATTCGATTCACGCGTTTGCCGCGTGTATCCGATATATTTCGTTTCGATTTATTCTGTGGTGTGAGTGTAAACGATGCGAGTCACTTCTCCGTTGGCGGGAAACGGTCGCAGCGTCTACGAGCATCGCTACTTCGTAAAGCTGTTACGTGAGTAACAACTGTTTCCGTTTTTCGATATAATTCTCTCAAAGTGACCATTTATTTGTTTTCGTGCCAACATTTTCGATTATTAAGCACTGATTTTAAATACAATTGTCACCTTCGAGTAAACATTTATTCGGATCTGCGTCGTTTCTACTGGCAATGTTTCCCTCCAAATTTCGACTAACCGTAATATTATATTTGCATTTATATTCGATCGGGGTAATTTTCTTACAAATTTTTCGATCATGACGCATTCGAAGTTCGAAATAACTTTTTCATCTCAATTTTATTAGAACCTTATGCATAGCATAAACATTGATTGTCACAACAAAGTTGTCATAAAAATGAATGGTTACTGCGACGCAGCATTACATATAGACTGCGAATTATTTACGAGCCTTATTTTGCAATGTGCTTACATGTAAAATATTTGTATAAATTTGGACTTTGAAACGGTCCGTAAATATCGATGGTGCTGCCATCGTAGAAACGTGTTAGAGCGCGTGCGCAAAAGTATAGCGATCCGTTGGCATAGTTGCTTCCGTGTGGAGCATCTTTAGGCCAAGTCGGCTGTGAAAGGGGACAAATGATGTAAATTTCGTTGTCGGTGGCGTGGGGTCTTAAATTGCACGCGGTCTGTTTGTTTACATACCGTAATATGCATAATGCGAATAAAAGGAACAAACGTTGAATCTTTCAATGTTTTGGCCATGTTAATAAACATTTCACAAACACTATATGTACATAGTTTCGTTTAGCAAAAATGATAAATTGGCGCCCAAAAATAACCTCTGCCATTTGTAAACTGTCAAGATCGTTGCGTAGTTCGCTACGCTATGTTTATTCGATAAATTAGTCTCTCGTGTTCCTTTCGAGAACAAAAGCGTCGTTGTAAGTGACCTAACCGTGTCGCTTCCTGTTGTAGTAAATACCAGATTTTAATAACTGCGTCACCGGGTCGAAATTCAACGAAAGAACGAGAATGTATAACGATCGGTAATATTTACATTCGATCGAGAATCGTTCACCTTTCGCTCGGGGCCATCGCGGCCACAAACACGGTGTCGCGGGCATTGTCTCTCCCGATCGATCGGGTAAAATCGCAACCACGGTTATATATACATATGTACTAGGTCGTTAAATATAAAACTTAACAGGCTGCGGACCTTTTAGAACGTTTTATTTTTTCATAGCTCCACGAAAGTGAATGAATCAATACGTTGTTAATAATATTGTAACGAACGTATATGGCAAATAAAAAGTACATGTTTCAAGCTACCCTGGTCTAATTGAAATGTGCAACCATATGAGATAGTAAATACGAAAGCTTGCGTTTCGCCGTTTAGGTTTGATACTTAACAGCCTAATAGGAAGGTACCGTGTCGGGGCAACTTGGCGAATTTTAATTCTGTCGCGGTTTTCTGCTCGTCCGCTAGCGCGGTGTCAATGCATGGCCAGGAATTTATTACGCCGTGACTCCTACACGTTAACTCGTGTCCCGGGATCGACGCAATAGAAATGATTCTCGTGTGCGTGTGTGTATAATGCTGACACGTGGCACACGATAAAGTCATAGAAAGACACACTGTACGTGCCTTCTCTTCGGTGTCGCAAATTAAAAAAGGACTCCTGCAGGAGGAGAGGTGCAAGTAGATACGATGACAAAAATATCGTAGCGAGGGCAGTGAAATGTCGTTTTATATAGTCGTGTGAGCGATGAGTACTATTTTAACCTGGGAATATCCAATTTAGTTGTGCCTTTTATGGCCACAGCTTTTTTCAAGCGAAATTCCTGTGAATGCGATTCGATGCCGAGCGTTATGAGTCAACAAGATCTCCAACTCCTAAATCTCTAAATTGCCAGATTTCCAGAAGCTTAACTTTCCACGCTTCCAGTTTTCCATCCACGGTTAATGCAAAGATTGCTAACGTAATTACATATATTTTCGATATCTAGGAATTAATGAGCAACCTTTCAAGAGGTTAATCGTTTATTTCTTTATTGTGATTTATCGCGCTTGCGCACAAGTGCTCGAACCTCGGTATCGCGTTACTTTGCGCAAGGGAAGAAGTTTCTTTTCTTTCCCTGCTCGGGCATTGTTAACGTTGAATACAATTGGTTCGTCGATGGCCAACGCTGATAATGGTTTCAGTGATTAGTCATATATCGCGCAAGTCATACCGTTGCAGTTCGATAGAACAAAAAAGCCATTGCACATACTTACGTATGTATACGTACATGAAATACGTCGTTTTCTTTTTTGCCGAGACCAATTGTCTCTTCGATTGTTTCGCGAGGAACCTTTTATGCGGTTGCGTTAATAAACGGAGATATTATTTTATCCACGCAGCTGTTTAGATGACGCATACATACATTGCGATCAATATCGTAAATTCATCTTGGTTTTTGCCGCTTCATTCTCACGTGTCGGACTACCCAGATCTCCAAAATTCCCAATGTCTCTAAGACACTTAGATCGCTGGATCTTTAGATTTCTATATGACTAGGTGATTTTTTATCGATCGAAATTTGAAGGCAGGAAGTATCGATATCGGAGCGAATAGATGAAGAAATTGCTTCCCCATGGCCGTACCGTTTTAACCAATTCAGTGACGGTAGTCCTGCCCCGTCGGGGATCGTTAACGATCATTTTCCTCTCGTGAAAACGCGAGCCTTGGACGTGACAGCCTCGTGATAATCGTCACGTCGTTGCCTGGTTTCTCGTTTTTTCGATTGCAAAACATTGCGCGTGCATAATGTAATCGTTCTCTAAGTAACGTTGATTGGAAAGTCGCGAGGTGAACTTTATTAACCAGCCACCGTTTTCGCTGATTCCATTATCGACGTGTACGATGACGATCAATTATCGTCGCGGAAAAACTGTAGTGCACCGCGTAGAACTAGTTTTTGTTTCGCCGCCGATTTGCATATATGCAAATCCATCGATATGTAACGCGCCGCCGATAGACGATCGCGCGGTGCGAGCGAGTTTTCGTGTAACGCGATTCAAGAACGTGAATTTTGCTTGGACGATCAACTTTTCCCGCGCGAAAGAAAAATGACCGCGTGAGCAATGCGGTGAAAATCCGTTTCGTCGATATCTTATCTACTTTCTCCGCTGCTTTATGGTTCGCGCGGGAACGATATTGCGTTAACCTCGACTTAAACGCGGTTCGTTCATAATTTCTGATTACACCGAAACCTCAAACCATTTCCTCGACATCTTCTTCGTTATCACTTATCTCTCCTAAACGCTGATGTGGAGGGGGCACGTTCTTCTTCTCTAATGCGCCGTACATGGATTTTCCGAGGAAATTCTCTGAGATCTTACTATCCAGTTTCTCACTGGAATACGTCTAGAATTATTCGCAGATCGTATCTAGGAAGTTTCAAAGTTTATTCCAACTTCTGTTCGAAGTGGCGGATTAATTTACACGGTCCATAGCGAAGTATTTTCTTAAGATTCTTTTAGAGTCACGAAATAGAACGTCACGAACGGGTGAGTACGTTGACCTTAGAGTTCACGGAGATGTGAACGATAGAAAAAAATGTGTTCGATACTCATTATGCAACGGGCCGGTAACGAGGCTGTGCCCTTTTCGTCGATTACGAGTTTGCTGGAACGGGACGTCCGTATAACTTGTAACGTACTACATATGTACCTAGTGGTATATAATACGAGACACGCACGACGTGCACGTGCGTGAGCTGACCTCGCTCTGACCACGCACCTCCCGCATGGCTCTCTAGCGATTCGCGTGCTGCGAAGCCTAACGAGAGACCTTCGGCGGAAAGAGGAACAGAGAGACATGGAAACGGCGCGTGTTTCGAGCACACTTTACGAATCTACGCTTTACGGGTCTTCGATCCGGAGTACGGAGTTCTCCCTTCTACTCGCACGTTTTCCTTCTAATCTCACGTGATCCTGATTGACGATGGGATCGAGTTTTCACCCAACACTCGCTGCGGAACGATACATTTTATTATTAACGCTCGCCTTGTTTACTTTACCGATTATGAATATCGGTTTCGACGGGTTTAATTTAGCGTTTCGTTCTCGCTCGATCTTATCTGTTTCATCGAATTTCGAACACTTGTCTAGATAACTGGAAAACCCATCTGCTGCGTCTCGGTGTTTTCTACTTCTGGGCTTCCCAATTTTCCAATTCCAAAATTTACCTTTACATATGTCGTCAATGAATATTAAGTTGGAAGTAAGTTCGAAGTCTATTAAAGCTAATTGCTCTTCTGTGTAGACAAATACTCAACCACAGATAATGCATACGTTGTTATATTCTTATCATATAATCGCGTCATACTGTTTGTACCAAAATACCTATATATATCGTATTATTAGTTTATCTGTAAAGTTCCGTATTTTGAAAGGAAAAAGTCCACGATGATTCAAGTCTCATGATTGATTGCACTCTGCACATATATACCTCATTTGATTTACGAAACGTTGGACGTACGAAAGTTCGGTTAGATATTTTGCAACGGAACGATCAAGTAAATTTGCCGATTGCAAAACGACGCATTAAACGGATTCATTGATTGCGTTGATCGATCTGTCGATAAAAAGTGGAATAATTTACTGTCTAGGAATTTTACCGCCATTCTCTGATGATCCTTTTAACTTTCTCTCTAATTTCGAACAAATTACTCACGAGGCTGTGTTTACTTATGATGAACGTGAAACGTGGTAGCTGCAATTGGAACGTTGTATCGTTGCGAGTTAGATGACCCGAAACGTAAGAAACGGCAATAAAAAGAATTGTTCGAATCAATCGAATTGCTGAATCAGGATCCTTATTCGTTCGTTTCGCTAGACAGGCAAATGTTCGTCCGATTGAACAGAACGAGTTGCCATTTTCTCTCTTGACCCAATATTCCAAAACAACTTCCTACTCTGTCGAATATTCGCTGATACAGTTGCTCCTCGGTATATTCTCACTTTTACGTGGAATAATGATGATCCTACGCGCATCGTCGCGTGTTAGAAACTGGAATGATGGAGCTACACGTTAGGTTAGGCTTAAATTGGGTTAAAGAAAGTTTACGTTTGGATCGAAAACTTTTTAAGCGGCGAAAATTATATTGGATTTGACAGGAACACAAATTTGAATCGTAAAATCGAACATATCTATAAAATATCGATTAGTGTATCGATTATCGGTAGCTGTACATTTATTCTGTAAGGACGTTTGGACACGCGTTGCTAGTTTCTCTATTTACTTTTTCCACGATCGCTTTCAGCGCAATGTTCAGATAACGGTACAGAACACACCGGAGAGAGATACGAACGTTTCAAACAAAAAATCCGTCGGTACACAAAATATCGCGTGTTATCGTCACTGGTGAAAGATTACGCGTTTGGTTGAACAGGGCTGACGAATGCGTACAATCAGAGAGCAACATGCGGTAGGTTCGCGTTATCGCAGTTAGTGGATGATTATGTAAGTTTAGATTACGCGAACGGGAAATTAATATTCCTAATGCGCGACAGAGGAGCCTCCGTTCGAAGATACACCGTGCGATCAAACAAGAAATTTCGTTTCATCTCCTACTCTTTAATATATTTCGTAACTAACGATCTTCAGCTGGAAAAACCGTTTTATTTTATTCTATCGTGCCTATAAATCGATTCTCCTGTTTTGTCGATGTGAAATACAAATTACCGAATAAATTTGAACCCTCCATATGGCGTTTTACCTTCGAGCGCCATTAATCGCGTAGCTTACCTTATTTCGAAACACGAGTTAGATAATACTGGTAAAAGGAATGAACTTGAAATATCTTCATCAGCAGGATCATGTCCTCAGGATCATGTAAATTGTTAACAAGGAAATCATGTAGCAATTATCAAGGTTGAAAACATTTCTTCGCTGACCATTATACCTGTATTATTCGGGAGAAACTTGTTAACGAGCAAAAGATGTCGCGTTCGCCTGTTGAAGAATCTTATGCGCAATAGCTTTATCTAGCCACGGTACGTTCTATATTCGGCTATTCGAATATTTTTGGCGAGCAGCCCGCTTGTTCTCCACGTGTGTCTAGCGTAGAACGCGGAACAAGCGTTACTATGAGCGGCGAAATAGAGGAACAAGAAAACGCATAAGTAAGGAAAGTTATCGATGCATCGATTTAATCCGTCATGGTCGTTGAAGCAATGACGAATGGGACATCTGTCTGGCTGACTGGCTCGTGAAATTATTCATCGGTTAAAAGTAGAACTTTTTGTTCCGACGATGTCTTATCGAGCGTATAACTCGATCGCAATCGGCGATCATGATAATGGGGGATTAGATGTACGCTTACGCTTTTCTCGTCTGGATAGCTCAAAGTAAACCTGCAATCCGTGATTTCCGTTTCGAGTTAACTCCTTCTCTTCTTCTACCTTCTTCGTTGATTCTGAAATGCGGTGAATATTTTATTTTTAAGATTGATCGTTAAGTTTTATTATTTTACGTAGATTAACCAAAGAATAATGGAATCTTAAAATTGTCGTATTGCCAAAAGTTGAACATTTTCAAATTTCAAAGAGCTACGATCTTGACTAGCCATGAAATTCGATGGGTAACTCGAGTGTGCACGTTTCAATTATCGATCCAGAATTTTCTTATCAGCCAGTAGTTATGTTTCATGCCGGTATCGGATTCGCTCGTGTTTTGCTCGCATAATACGAGCCACGCGCGATTACATCGAGGATGTGAACGATGCATCGCTGTGAGGTCAAAGGAAACACGTGATCGACGCGATGCACGCGAAAACTTGTGTTATCTTTTTATCATCGCACTCGTGTCGAGACTCGAAACGATACGGGCGAGAAAAATTCAACGCGGAAGCAGATTTCTACCATCTTCGACTACTTTCTCTTTCATTTTCTTTCTTCGATTGACTTTTTTAGAAAAAATAATCGGATACATTCGATTATTAATACATACACTCGGGACAGAAACGAAGGTATAGATCTCCTTTCTCCTATGTCGGCATTTTCTCTAAAAAAAATCTTAGACTGTGCAATTATTATACGAGTATCATGCAACTTCGCGTTCAAGGTAGCGAAACATGAAACGCAGTTGCTTAACGCGGTAATAAACGCTGTTGACTTTTGTTATTCGAGGTACGAAAAGTTGCTGGCCTCGTTCGCTCTCTCCTTCCTTCATTTTTCACCTTCCATTTTTTTATTCGCCTCCCTCTTTATGACCGATAAGCCAGCTCACGGTTAGCAAGCTCGTGTAACAAGTCAGACTAATCAAAATGTCGTTTATGATACAGAAGTTTATTGAATGCACTGATTCTCTCGCAAATCAACAACGACAGTGGGCCCCATGTGATTCGATTTTTCCCTTCGTTTCGTTCTTTTCTTCTTTCTTTTTCTTTTTTCACGATTGCGATAATCGTAAGGTAACAAAATACATGTCGCACCAAAAGTTTCGGCGCGTCCCGAACGTAGCAGTCGATAGTTTAATTAATTAACGGTGATGGCGATAATCAATAATAAATTGGCGACAATGAATAATTAGCGATAATAGTAATAACCATAATGATAGTAATAATAATAATAATAATATACAATAATAACGAGATATGCTAACTGTCGATAATAGTCAAAGAGATAACAAGTAAAATATACAATATGATCCTTCTCGCGGATTTCTTCGTGATTATACGATTAACGATCGAATAGCGAATTCTCTCACCTCTTCGGTACACAATTCTGTCTTCGTTTCTATACAATTATTTGAAATTTGTCCGTTTGATTCGTGTGATATGGCTTCGTTTGCTTTCTCATGGCGCTATAATGAAGGTGTAATGAAGAACGCGGTCGGTAAATTGGATTCGTCTCCATTTACCGATTTCTTCCTCTCAAAAGTTTCGATACAATTTTCACTCGCACTCTCTTTATCACGTACTCACACGCTCGCTCGCTTTTGCAGATTCGTTATCAAATTTCTCGGACAACTCGGACATCCATGTATATTGCTATTATTTCGGGTTTCTCTTATTAGAAATTTCAAGATTTCACAATTTACACATTTGCAAATTTGCCATCAATAATTGTCGATCCTAAAATATTAGCAATATGTATCGATCATCTGAGATCTCCAATTAGAGCTGCATATCTTCGATACTAATTCATCGATTCATACACGTAATTGCAATATATATATATACACAATAGATGTTTCCATGACAACGAGTACGCCGTCCAAGTAAAATTAGCTTCAATTATATTATTTATACGAACGATCTTCGTAACAAAAAACATCTTCGATCAGTTCATAATTTCATAACTTCGTTCCTAACACACAGACCTGAGCACATTTAACGAATAATTTTTTACTTGGCCGAATTTTTATTCCAAGATTATTCAAATAATACTCAACTCTGCTAATTGTAACATACTTGTCGCCCCTATTTTAATTTCTCCTCTCGATCTCGCTTTTTTATATACGAAATTCTCGATGCAATTTTTGGCCAACCGATGACAACGTAATTCGAGAATCGTCTCTCGATTGTTACAACAGTTCGTGAAACACGTAAGTTCTCCTATTTTCATCCTAACGTTTCGAAGTTCGAGGTGGTACGTGAAAGTGCTGGCGTTAGGTACAAGGAGGGAAATATATGCGCATCGTAACGTAGGATGAAAATGGAATTGTTTATTGTTTTGGAAAAATAGTGAAGCATCGAAGGGGCCAAGCGTATTTGGATTCTGACCAGGTCTGGGCAATTTATGTCCTTCGGGCACAATTCACAGAAAATGGCCTTTTTTACCATTTTTCTTTTTCTCTAAATTTCCGAAATGTCAAATTAAACTTAATGCCTAAGTTCGAAAATTGAAAAGTTCGTAACTTCTAAACTTTCTAGTTCGTACGAAACATTGCTCGCTCCGATAATTGTTCTAGTCGGCCAAAATTTCCCAGACTTGATTTATACGATTAATTCGTGACGATCGCAGTATATACGCGCGCTCTCCCTCGCTCTCTTTTATTTACAAATTCACCTAAAGATATACAAGCTATGCCTGAGGCTAGAAAAATGCGATCGCTCGAGCGCAGGAGTTCGGTCGAATAAAAATCGAACGTCGACCTCGCTCTAAATTTCCTCCTTACGTCAAAAATGTCCGCGTCACGCGGCTGAAAAATCTATAGACAATCGATTTTCCGTGTAAAAACTCGCGTTCTAGAGGTTCTCGCGAATGAATTCTATCCGATCCTCGCGCGATATCAAAAAGAAACATTTGCTCCTTTCTCTTCTTCTTCCTTCGAAAAGCTTGTTTCTCGAACGTACAATTCCGCGACTAGAGATAAACAACGCGTGTACGTACACTATATTTTAATATCGTGTCTGTTCGTCGTCACGATTCGATGTCGATGTTTCAACGCCTCCATCGATCTCGCGAAAGAAACACACGACTCTTGGAACGTCGAATTCGTTCGAATTTTTCGTGATCATCGAGGACTCTTCGAAACAAGAAAGATATTCAACATTTTTTTAAACGCGCATTTAACCATTCGATATACGATATAAGACGATAAATGAATTGTAACCTAGTTCAGTAATCTCTATAATCACGCGTGCTCCCAGCAAAATTCGAGGTTGCAATAGTCGTGTATCCTTACAAGAGAAATTTGCACGTGTGTGTATATAAAAATCGGAGAAGATGTGTCGTTACTATGTACAGTTTCGCGTGGAAGGCTACACGAAAGAAACAACTTCGTAAACGAAGCGATTACAATTAATACGTATACATGTATATATGTATATCCACATATAACACTCATATACGGATACGATCGGTAACACTTGAATATATCGTAACGTTAATCGCGTAACAACGTAAACCTTACGTTTTCTTCCGGCGTGCATTCTCAAAAACTCGTAGAAATCGTAACAATTCTAAATAGAAACTCGAAACTCGACGTCGCCATTTGTAATTGCGTAACCACGGCCATAAGTACACGAGTTCGCCATACGAGTGTAATCTCGATCGTTTGAAAAATATGTACCGTCGAAACGATTCGCTCTAGCCGTTCTATCGTCGTGTATAAAAATCCTGCCGACTTCCGGCATCCGCGCTCGAGCCGATCGTCCATCGAGAACAGGAAAAATGTGTATAGAGAAATTTGTTGTGTGCGCACCGTGTGTTTTTTGAGCATGATCCATCGTCGTTCGCGACGCGACCAGCCCGTACAAATATATCATTGTCGTCGTCGATTATTATTATTTTTATTAAAATACTCGGTGTAAAAATAGGTACGATACAGGATGCCACGTGCCGTGGTCGGTACCCCTGCGTTTCAGACGAAAAAGAAAAAGATGCGGCCGCTTGTATTGGCCGCTTTCTCCTCCTCCGGAAGTCCTCGCAAAATTCGAACCGTCGCGTGGTCGACAAAATGGTACAGGAAGGACTTCGGAGACGGTCGCCCGTTTTACAAAAGTGTCCGGAAGTTCGTCGAAAATGTTCTCCCTCCGTTTCATGCCACGCGAGGTCCTCGCCAGCGTGTCCTTGTCCAAGCTTAACACGGAGACCAATCGAATTGCTCGAAAGCCGTTTTCAGCGGTTCTTCTTTCTTTTTTTTCCTTTTTGCTTTTTCCTTCTGCTCGGTGATTTCGCCTTTACGAGGGTATTCAGCGCCCTCTCTGTCTCTTTGTCGCTCTCTCGTCGGTTGAACGTCGGTTTTCGGTGACGACTCGGGGCGTCGCGACGCTCCCGGGTCTCAGGTCACGTCCAGCACGAGTCCGTGAACCCAGTCGTCGGCTGGCTGCTACGTCAACAGCTTGAAGAACATCAGGGCTAAGGATATGTTGATGAACAGCACCAGCATCACCAGCTGCTGCCTCGAGAACCAGTCCTGAAAATTTTTATTGGATCAGACATCTGTTTCTCGGTCAGGGAATTTTTTCGGAAGGAAACTACTCGAAATCGTATCGATTCAATTCCCTATGGAATTGTAAAAAAAAAAATGGACCGTTTTAATGTTAGATATTAGATATTTTCGCTTCGATATTTAACGCGTTAATCGATTTTATACGATCAATTTCGAAAGAACCACGCGAGTGCCTCGGGCAATCGTTTCAAATCTCTTAGCTCGTATCGAAGTAAGGTTTCTTTTACGAGTTTCAGATAAATCGGTCGTAAATCAAGCGAAAGTTCGCGTCGTATTGACGGAGCTTCGTCTCGCGATTAAAAAGCGGAATAAATTAACTTGTGTACGAATAAAAGATTCATGACACGAGGATAATGTTATTCTATTATAAGCTATGCAAAAGATTGCGAGGGTTATAGAATGGACGACATAAACGCGCGAATCTGTAAACAGCGCAGGTCGCTTTCATAACGCTGCTTGCTGGAATTTTTATTGCACATCGTGAATACTCGGAACACGATAAGATTATATTCCCCGCAGGTGTTTTAGTACTCTTTTTAATTGTTTTGACGCTCGTTTCTCAAAATATAAAATTTATTTACTTAGCTAGACATCATTATATTCAATTATCTCGACTGGCGGTATTGTTTATTGTTCACTCGAAATATTTGCGTCGGATAATATGAAATTATTAATTATTTAATCGAGCCAGTTTTGTTTTTGCGACGTTTCGAAATAAAAATACAGATTATTTGTCGCGAAAGTAAGAAGAAACATTCGATAGGGAATGTTGACAGTATCAATTACCTACATATGTAAATACTTCCGCATACGATCAGAATGCATAATGTGCCCCAGTCAGGTGGAGCGGATATTGAAAACGGCCGATGCCCGATCAAGCATTCATAATCATGTATCGATACCCGTGCGACCTACTATTGCAAACGACTGATAAGATGCGAACGTTTTTGCGTCGTCGATTCGAGACACGAGCTCCTCCTCTGTTCTCCCCTCTTTTCTCTGTTTCTACCAAGGTCTCGTGTCACCCACAGTGTTCTATGTATTACGTCTGATTCTACGTTCTACGCAATATCGCGATCTTGATTCTTCGAGGTCGTTTCTTTTCTTTTCGCGTTATTTCTTCTTCGATACTATGACCGAAGATCAGTTTCGTCCGATTGGTCGAGATCCCCAAGGATGAAAGGCTTGTTTAACTTCGAGTTTCGATAGCCATAATTAATGATGACGTTTAATACGTTCGGTGTTATCGGACGGAATGCATTTACGTTTCTAATTAAACGATATACGACAACAGGAAGCTTCTTACCCTCTTTTCTTTATTATTGCATGTACAAATGTATTAATAAGTATTCCCTGTATTACCGAGTATTTGTTGTGAAATATGCATTGTAACGCTAGCTCTAATCGAGGACAGCTCTATCTAGAGGGGCTATAAAATCATTATTGGAAATAACGATAACTCTGAAACAAGGTTGAGTACGATGACAGCTGGATCGCCTAATTACTCTCGCTTCGTCTCCGTTATCTACCATTTCTCCTTTTCTACGGCCGATTCGTGTATTCTTCATTCTGTCAACGCTAATCTAACGAGGTTAGGTTATACCCGTCATTAATAATATTGATTGAAACTCCGATGAAGATTGTGCTTGTGTTTTTTATTCTGAACGTAGGATCGCACGTGTATCTCGAATGTTAAAATACGGCTCGTAGCGTGATTCGATTCAGTTTCGTGTCATTCAATTCTTTGCGATTCAACTCGTTTATCATTTAGCTCGATAGCTACCGTACGCGTTCTAATCGGTATCGTGTAACAATTGATATCTTGCATTCGAATACTCACTTTAACCTGAGGACTGACCAAATAGAGCAGAGGATTGGCCCTGAGCCTTTCGCTCTCGTCGATCTGCCTACGAATCTCTTCTCTTCTCATGCTGCTCAAAACGCTCACTTCCTCCCTGGACAACGGTGCGGTCGCAGTCAGCTGGATCGGCTGTGCCACATCCGGCAACGATTTCTTCCGTTGAAGGGACACCGACGGCGTGGGCATCGCCTGTTTCCGAAAAAGAAAACGAGAAACAAGGAGAGAGAGGTGGCTCTCGTACACGTTCGTTCAACTAAATCGCTACGTCCACATTCGCAACGAACCCTTGCTTTCTTCGTGTCTCTTTGGCATTTACGTCTCTCGCGCGAGAACGACTTTTCGTTACTTTTAATAAATACTAGTCGTGATAGTCCTTACAGGCTGATTCATCTAAGCGTGCCGCCTAAATCATTATAACCATCGTATATACGAAGATCTAATATCTAAGAGTTATTCAGAAAATAGTAAACAGTCTGCGAGTTTGCGTGGCACGGTTAGGCGAATCATTCCGTATAGTTATCGATGGTTTTAGCGCCGCTGAGGTCATTCGGTTGAGGGCTGAACGCCGTGTCAAAAGCGATGACAATTCGTTTGGCCCGGGGACGTTTACGTGTTCATTAGTTTCACGGTTTCGAAGCACAGAGAGAAACAGAATAAGGGTAGGAAGACAAGGAATCCTTGGACCAGTTCCAAAACGCGCAACCTCGCCTCGTAATCGCTCGTAATAATGATGCAAAGGCCGAGAATGCTAGATGCGTTGACCTTCGACACTGATTTTTCGCGTCTTCCGAGATACCGACAAGGAAATGATTATCGTATCGACGCGTGCTCCGCGTCGATCTACTGACCTCGGTGTTGTTATACAACCTGTACCATTTTTGCCGATCAGAGTAAATAACTGAAAGTCCAGCATACCAGGAGAAGGGGTTCCGAAGTTACCGTTATCCCTTTCTCCGTGGCCGATCCTACGTATGTGCAGCTAACGCTCAAATATTAACCAAATCGTTTGAAAAAGGGTTAAACGAGTGAAAATGGAATCGAATTTTATACGAGTCGAGGAAGCTGGCTATTATCTGCGTCTGGACGAACTTTTCCGCGTTTCAGTAGGCGTAAAATTAGACCGGCGCCCCTGTTTCCTTCGGTAATCATTTTTTCCCGATACCGTTAATTAGCCTCGATCGAGACGCTCGTCTTATTTCGCAGCTGTATCTCTTGATACGGGTCGTTGGTCTCTGTTCCGAAGTTTTTTTCGATGGGTTGTAAATTGCACAGATAATGTTGCCGTATCTGACTGGAAAAGCGTTGCTTTCATTTTGATGCTCTCCGTTGCAAACCTCGACTCGTCTATTTCACTCGTTCCTTATCTACGTAGATTCGCGTAATGTTGCGTCCATTGGCGTAACTATAATACAATTTTTGTTCGGAGCGAGTCAGAATATTATTATGTAACTTAATTAATAGAAATCGTATTAATTTCCAATATAAATTGAAACAAATTCTGAAAATTTTTCAGTACTGTTACTTCGGTCGAATAGAAGCATTATTGTCCATTATCGATAAGTTATCGATATTGTAACGATACTTAATAATGTATCGATAATATCGTTAATATATGGTAAAGACTAATAGGAGTAATCGAGATAATATGCAACTAGAAATTTTATCGCTGTTTAAACGTCGAAGTTAAGATAACTTAATCCGACTCATCCTATTCTCGTTTAAACTTCAAACAACCTTTTGTTTTACTGAAACACAGTTCTTGTTTGTGCTTCAAACAGGAACAAATAGATTGAAATAACGAAGTTACGTGTTAAGTTAGCTTTTAACTAGAAACCAGGACAAACAGATTTGAATAATAAAATTAGGTTAAGTTTGAGCTGCAAATACAAACAGATGGATTTAAACAACAAAAAATGCGACCGAATTATTTGAAATTCCATTAATTCTATTTGAAAACTGGAAGAACGAATGGCACAGAGGTACATGTGACAATGGCGAAAAGAGCCTAGCACCCTAACCGGTAGATTTACACGCGCAGAAGTTCGCTAACCCTTCTACTTGACATTTGACTCGACTGCGTAAGCGATAGTATTAAGCGTGTACCGAGAATATTAGAAAGCGAGAAGTTTAAATTTGAGGTAAGTGCTCGAAGGACAATTTACGAGAAGTCCTTCCAGAAAACAATGGTTAGTCCCGTCGTACCTCCACGGGAGGTGACACGATCCACGATTCCGAGGCTCTCCTTGCCATAAGCGCAGGGCTGCATAGTAGCGCCTCTTCTTCCTCGTCCGGTTCCGACCACAACATCTTCAAAAATTACTTTCCTCCCTTCGATGTAAAAGAACTTGTTCCAAACACCACCTTTCACGGATAATCTCTGAACATTTTCATCGCGTTTCTCGTCACCGCGAGCTCCAGTTAAACAGAATCTCCCACCCCCCACCCTGCAAATGAATTTTACCCTTTTTTCTATTTCGACGAAAATTTCTGGCCTTTTATTGGGACGCAACACGACGGTAAAATAAGGACATTCAGATTCGTGGCCTCCTGGTGAGGAAGCTAGGCCGCAGACTGAACGGCCCTGGCTCGTTCGACCGAAATAGAGAGACGCCCCACTATTTTCACGTCGAAATAGCATCTAGTAGCGCGTCCCGACGCTGTCACCCGTGTACCGTGCTCGCAAAGATGCCAGAGCTTCGTCGATCCTGCCCGTTCCTCTTGATTTATGACAGCCTGTCGTTGGACGCTTTTCTTCGAGTTTGCTTTGTACTTGAGGTGTTTCGCTTGGACAGCAATACGATGCTATCGAACGTACGCTATCGATCGATATTTTTAGTCGAGCCCAGACTTTTGGGACCGGATGTTCAGCCGTTTATGACCAACACTTCGTTACACCAACGAACAGAGCTGTTTGCTTTCATTTCAGCATTGAACTTGGGATTTTTCGGGCCGCTCTAACCGCCAGTTTATTTTCGTCCACGCGAGCTTTGAACGTACGCATATTCCATGGAAATTTAGGGGAATTCAACCCTTCGTATCGTTCTTTTCTATTTGCCGATATATTTCATGTTTCAGATTTGAATCCTATTCGTTACTCGTTGGTAAATTACAAAATTATAATAGCAACTTTTGATTACAGCTTACTGTCCATAACTTTATGGACAGTTTAGGTTGTATGAATATTTATGATTGGTAATCCTAAATCTGTCCCGTACCGAGTACTCGAATTTGCAACGAATCGAGCGCAAAGTCTAATCGCTTGTATACCTAGGCTATGAAACAGAAACTATAGCCGTAGAAAGGACGTTGCCGGTCGCGAGTGAAATCGTTCGGTTTCAATGGAGAGCTTAAACGGAGAATCGTGTAGAGTTTATGCAACGCGGTAGAAGACGATGGAAAGAAGCGATGCAAGATGATTCTTCGCGAATCGTTCACGGTCGAAACACGACCGGAAATATCGTTGCGCAAATAAAGTCGAATCTGCAATTCGCGGCTGTCTGATTCACGTGGTTGGCATGCGAATAAATTCGTCGAGATTTTCGAGAATTCTGTGCTCTACGCACGCCAAAATGGGCCTCGAATATCTCCTCGTTACCCTGCGCTTTTGGACTTGAATCATCGCTTAACAGCGAAAAAATAACAATTATCGGCATCGTACAGACTTATCGAGATCATCGGTATTTTTCCGTATACTTAAATAGGACGAAGCAAAAATCGACACGATTCAATTCGACGGTGTTCAGTTATTTCATTAAACGCGATTTAATTGTATAATTCGATAGGATTCAATTTGACGGTGCTCGATTATTCACTCGAGCATGATTCGAATATATAATTCGGTAGGAATTTAATTCGACGAAATATAATTGCCCGGTTCGACCCGATGCAATCATACGGTTCGAAACGATTCAATTATTCGGTTCTGTGCGGTTCGATTTCACCCGATTCAGGTAATTCGACGCGATTCGATTATTCGATCAAAAGTGACTCGGTTCGAAGCGACTTCATTATTTAATTCGTCACGTTCCGATCAGCGAATTCGGCGCAGTTCCATTCGCTATGATTCACTTGTAAATCCTAACATCACGCGGATCTAGCTTTGCATATCGATTGTCTGCAAAGGACGCGCGGTTCAAAAAAGTCGTATTAATTATTTCCACAAAATGCGCCTGACATATTTTGTAATGCAAATCGAGCGTCGTAGTATTCTAACCGTGTCGGACGATTGCTTTCTTCGCAGGGTTAATCGTCGAATTTCAAGCTCGTCCGCTACGGTGAAGCAATAATTAGCCTTGTTAATCGGCACGATATCTCGAATCGTAAATCGTACTTTATTACGGTGATCCGTCGACCCGTGACTTATCGGTATGCGAGGCAACCGGCATCGATCAATCTTCGTCGCACTTTCCACCCTACGCTTGCATCTTTTTCTAACAAACAGTTTCCTCCTTTCCGCGAACTGTTACTTTTCCGTTTTTTTTGCTCGAAAAAACCGTAACGGATGTCCGGAATTTTGTTACACGTCCCGACCACCGGATTCACGTGGCTAATTAACGTTGGAATTAATTCCTCCGCGAGGGACTTTGACTCCCGTCTATCCTGTAAATCGATCGGGATACAATCGATCATAAATGTGCAAATACCGTTCTAAAACCTTCACTGCAGCACGTTTTGCAATGCAGATTCCTTGTTTACGTTTCGTGTATCGATCGTTCTACACCCGGTAAGATATTCGTGACAACAGACCGAATTATCATATAGAAACAAAAACATGAATCTGGCTAAAATAATTAGTCTCCGAGTTTGCGGATCCCGAAGTTCTCCCGAAGAACACGAAAAAGTCTTATCGTGTGCTGTACTTTGCGTAACAAAGTGTTTAATTGGACATCAGGGTCGTGCCAAGAAACGCGTAAATCGACGGCACTCGGCCTGCACTCGTCCAGACAATACAAATTGGCGTGAAAACAACGGACGATATTTTTGTACCTGAATTCGTGAGAATGGACGAGAAACACGGATTCCTAAACGGTCTTGTTAATGGCCTCTTTACACTGTTCCTTTCAGATGCAGTGGCTCCCATTAATCCGTTCTTACACCGTGTTACAAATACTTGTACGTATAATTAACTAGGAAATAAAACATAAGTATGGCGAATGATCGAGGTTAGCAAGTACCACATAATCCTCCTA